TAATGCAGTAGATCTATATGTATGTTAATATGGAAAGATTTCCAAACAGTCTTACTGAAAGCAGATCCTGATACAGAGATGCTAGAGCAAGTAGTTTAGTCTGGGAGATCCTGCAGCATGTATCTCCAGATTGTCCTGTTCAAGGCATGAGGGAACTGTCATTTGTTGAGAGCTCCTCCTGAGAAGTTTAAATTCCTTGGCACTCTTGGTCTGCCACAGAGGTTGGCAGAGCAAGTTTTAACAACCAGAGAAAGCACCAGGGGAGAGTTGCAGGTGCTGACAGATGGAAACTAGATGGGCGTGCATGGAAGTGGCAAGAGTTGGAGCATTTGTATGGGTGAAACATGAAGACTATGCTGCATACCTGTTAAGGAAGGAAGGGAGGGAGGAAGGAAGGAAAAAAGAAAGCAAGGAAGGAAGAAAGGGAGGGAAGACAGGAGGGAGAGAAGAAAAGGGAAGGGAGGAAAAAAGAGAGATATATTGTTTAAATTTATTTATTTATGTAGAGAAGGGGCTGGAAATTTGCAAAGCAAACTCCTGGTTGATATGGCTCTGGGGGAGCAGGATGGAAGTAGGGGCAATGGGAAAGAGGAAGAATCATCATATACTCTGTATATTTGTGTATCACTAAATTGTTTTACAATGAAAATGCATTCATGTACTACTTCTGTAACTAAAAAAAAAAAAAAAAGAAAGAAAGAAAGAAAAAACTCCATGCTATAGCTTCATTATAAAAGGAAATCCTTGCCATCTAAGGACAGGAATAGCTTTGCCCTTAGAATATGCTGCTGCATGGTTAGTAGTTTAATTTGGTGGAGAAAAGGTAAACGTGCCTTTCATCTTATTATTATTATGGATTTTTAAAAATAATATAGGCACATCATTTGGAGAATAGCACAAAAATTTCAAAGAAGGGTATCTGGGTGGCTCAGTGGTTGAGTATCTGCCTTTGGCTGGGGTCGTGGTCCTGGGGTACCGGGATCGAGTCCCACGTCAGGCTCCCTCCATGGAGCCTGCTTTTCCCTCTGCCTATGTCTCTGCCTCTCTCTGTGTGTCTCTCAGAATAAATAAAATATTAAAAAAAATTTCAAAGAGGTCATCCATTGTAATAACTATAACCCTCCGTAACCACTATAATCTTGGTCCCCATTCTGGGAGCTGAGTTAGTGAAATTCCTAATGGTTTTTGTTGAGAGAGGTACCACTGGGCATATAACTTGGAACAAGTTTTTTTGGGAACTGCTTTGGTCATATATATCAAAAGCCTTAAATCTATACATGCCCTTTGACACAAATTCCTCTTAACAGGGACTTATCCTAAGGGAGCCACATGAAGACAAAGATGTTTTTAGCCTAAAGATGTTTACTAAAGTATTGTTTGTAATTGTGAAACCATCCAAGTAGGGAAATGGTTGATAGGCTACAAAATTTAGCAGATCTGGATTGATTTTGGCTCTTCTACTTACTAACTTACTACCTATGTGATCCTGGTCAAGTAACAATTTATCTGACATAGATCTAGAGGAGAAAATGAGAATTAAAGATATATACACACACAGAAGATTATAATTATCTACCCCATTGATTTGAAATGTTTATTGAGTGAGATAATGCATGTAAAACATCTAGAAGAATGTTTGGCACATAGCAGGTGCTCAATAAAAGGTAGCTATTATTAAGAAAAGTATGGTTCATGCATATGATGGAATATATATGTGTAAGAGGGTTTTAAATGGCATGGAGATGCTATTTATAAATCGAATAAAAAGTAGGGTTCAAAATTCTTGAGTATGATCTTAGCTAGAGAGAGAGATCGAGAAAGAAAAAGAGAGATAAAGACAAAAGATCAAGACAGGAAGAAAGAATATACTAAAATACTTATATTATGAAGTAAACTAAATGGCATTGACTTTCTCTTCATACTTTTCTCTAAATAGAGTATATCTGAAATACTAAAGTCCTAGCCTTTCCTCTGAGGCCCCTAAGAATTTTTCCTTCTTTGAGTTGGGCAAACTGAACTAGTAAAGGGATCCTAGGAGATCTAGATGGGTCTACAAACCCCATCTGTATCAAAAGGGTCCATGGAGGGACTTTTGGGTGGCTCAGTGGTTGAGGTAGTGATCCTGGGGTCCTGGGATCGAGTCCCACAACAGGGTCACTGCAGGGGGCTTGTTTTTCCCTCTGCCTATGTCTCTGCCTCTCTATATGTGTCTCTTATGAATGAATAAATAATATATTTTTAAAAAATGGAGTCCATGGAAATTAGCCTCTCTCTACCCCATCTCCCTTATGAGGAGCGAGGACAGTAATATGAAGCCATCTAGTTGCTCAGATGCTTGACTTAGGTGGGAGATGTGGGAAGAGAGAAGGCCTCTTCCTAGCAAAAAGAAAGGCAGTGCAGAGAAGTAGTGTAGAGGTTTCCTTCTCTTTCCAGCATGGCCAATGGCTGAAGAAGTAAAAGACAGGAGAAGGGGGCATGAAAGTAGTAGATGAAGGAGGCAGCTAGTATAGTTAGGGCATTGGTTACATTCAACAAACAAATAAATTGATAAAGCAAATAAGAAATATATTGAGGATAATGAGGCCTGGGTGTCTCAATGTTGGAGAAAGGAATTATAAACATGGAAACTGGAAGGGCTAGAAAGAACCGTAACCTTGGGGTGCCTGGCTGGCTCAGTCAGTGGAATATGCGAGTTCAAGCCCCACGTTGAGTATAGAGATTACTTAAAAAAAAGAAGGGATCCCTGGGTGGCGCAGTGGTTTAGCGCCTGCCTTTGGCCCAGGGCGTGATCCTGGAGATTCAGGATCGAGTCCCACGTCAGGCTCCTGGTGCATGGAGCCTGCTTCTCCCTCTGCCTATGTCTCTGCCTCTCTCCCTCTCTCTCTGTGACTATCATAAATAAATAAAAATTAAAAAAATTAAAAAAAAAAAAAGAAGAAGGAAAGAAAGAACCCTAACCTTCTGGTTGGACTGAAATTGAAAGTATCAGTGTGAACTCGTTGTTTTTTTTTTAAATACATACACACAGATATAGAAATAGACATAGATGTATAGTGTGCATGTGGAGAAGAGAAATGAAGAGACCAAGAGAGGGGATCCCTGGGTGGCGCAGTGGTTTGGCGCCTGCCTTTGGCCCAGGGCACGATCCTGGAGACCTGGGATCGAATCCCACGTCGGGTTCCCGGTGCGTGGAGCCTGCTTCTCCCTCTGCCTGTGTCTCTGCCCCTCTCTCTCTCTCTCTCTCTGTGTGTGACTATCATTCATAAATAAATAAATAAATAAATAAATAAATAAATAAATAAATAAATAAATAAATAAACCAAGAGAGATGATAGATAGTTGATAGATAGATAGATAGATCTCTTAGCTTTGTCCACTGAGAAGACCTAGGAGCAATGACAGACCAGTAGCAATGAGCACACTCCACACTCAGATCTTGGTTTCTAAATACTGTCCTCTAGCAAAAGGAACCAGGACTTCTTAGAAAAATGGCTGATACCTTGGTTGAGGCAAGGAAATTATATCAGGAGCCTGGACATCTTTTTGTGCCAGAAAGTAAAGAAGTGCTCAAGAAATGATGGAGGCATGTAAAAAAGATATAGGGATTGGATTGAAAAGTCTTCCAATGGCCAGATGGGACAGTCTGAGCATCAAAAGAATAATGGTTAGTGGCTTACAACCCACTGAATAAAATAGGAATCCACAGGTCCATAGTGATTAAATGAATGAATAGATAGATGATAGATGATAGCTAGATAAAGGGGAGAAGGGAAACTCTTCCTTATGTATAATATCAATCCTAAATGTAGAAAGAATAATGGGAATAAAAAATACCACCTGTTACCACCATAGTAGCATTGATTCAGGCAGAAATTGTCAATGAGGGGGCAGCCCCGGTGGCTCAGCGGTTTAGCACCGCCTTCAGCCCAGGGTGTGATCCTGGAGACCCAGGATCGAGTCCCACATCGGGCTCCCTGCATGGGGCCTGCTTCTCCCTCTGCCTGTGTCTCTGTGCCTCTCTCTCTGTCTCTCATGAATAAATAAATAAAACCTTAAAAAAAAAAGAAATTGTCAATGGATGGAATACTAAAGCTGGTGAGTGCAGGTTCTACGGGGAACAGGACATTGGCATAATCTCTGAATTCTTCCCTACAAAGTATTTAGTGATCACAAATGAAAAAATGATAACTTTAGGATGGAGAAATCTGTCAGACACCAACTTGATCCAATGACGAAGGTTAATGTCAGCAGCAATGAGATGAGTTGACATCATGTGGCCCTGATGTAAGGCATTGGGGAGAGCTTAGTATCATTTCTGTGGGGTTCTTGCCAAGCAAATGTGGCCTGAGTCTGGTCTCAGGGAGACTTCAGATGGACTTAGGATGAGGGGCATCCTACAGAATGAAAGACCCATACTCTTTAAGACTATTCAGGACATGAGCATTAGGGATAACCTGAATACTTTTTTTCAATTCTAGATTGAAGTGCCCATTATCTCACACCCTATTTTCCCCTAGATTTCCTAGGTTGTGGGCAGGGCTCCATGGCAGCAGTTATTAAATTTGAGAACCATGTGGGGAGTTAGTTAAGTATGCAGATGCCAGAACCCCACCCCTGAGAGTCTGTTCCCAGTGGTCTAGGGAAGGGCTTGGGGATCAATGTACTTAGCCATCCTCCCAGAAAATTCTGAAGTTAAGTGGTCCACAGACCACCCTCAGAATGTGTCAGATTCTTGATTTCTGCTCAGGTCATGATCTCAGAGTCATGAGATCGAGTCCCATGTCAGGCCCCCTGCTCAGCACAGAGTCTGCTTGTCCCTCTCCCTCTGCTCCTCTCCCTGCTCTCTTGCTCTCTCTCTCTCTCTCTCTCTCAAATAAACAAACAAACAAATAAATACATACATACATAAATAAATAAATAAATAAATACTTAAAAAAAAAGAAATTCAGAAAGCTGTGGCAGTCCTAACCTTAACTCCTTTCCTGTCTCTCTGCTTTCAGGGTGACGCTATATGCTGAGTTCCTTCCCATGAAGGCCAGAGCTAAGTGTATTTTGCTGATTGAGGTAAGGAGGGGGGTCTGTGTTCCCCAAGAGTGCTCAGTCCCTGAGCAGGAGATTCTCAGGTGTCCTGAGCCACAGGATAAGGAAATGGGAGTTTGTCAGTTATGTCAATTAGGACATGGTTGGTTTGGTTTTTTTCCCTACTATACAGATAAGTGCTTTGATTGACAACAAAAATTCAATTTCTTAAAAAGAAAATGGTGGAAGGCAAGTGGTATGTCATTCTTGTTCTGGAAATGTTGTGGGGTTTTTTTAAAGATTTTATTTATTTATTCATGAGAGATACAGAGAGAAGGCAGAGATATAGGCAGAGGGAGAAGCAGGCTCCATGCAGGGAGCCCGGTGTGGGACTTGATCCTGAAATTCTGGGTTCACACCCTGAGCCAAAGGCAAAGGCTCAATCTATGAGTCATCCAGGCATCCCTGGAAATGGTCTTTATCTGAGAGTTGCTGCCGAAGAGGACAGCCTAAGGAGATCAAAACTCCCTGCCCTCATCCATATCACCCTTTACCCCTGTTTGCATCCAGACTCACCTGTATCTTGTGTTGGTGGCCACCTCTGCAGCCTAAAGGCGGCCTTAAAATGCTCTTGGTCCAGCTAGTCCCTCTCAATCCTTCTTTCTGCCAAGATCTTGTGACCATTTTCCACTCATGATCTGGAAGCTCTCAGGGCAAATATGTAGCTGCCCAGTGTCCCCTCTCCATGCAATGGCAGTAGGGTTTATTTGTCCTTTCTGGACACTGATGTCTACAGTGATGATGATGATGCCATTCTGACCTCTTTGATCAACATGACCACATTGACAGTATTAATTACATTAACCCCACAGCCCAGTTTACCACCCTGGCTACATCTACCCCTAACCAGTAAGGATGGTAGTTAGCTGGTCCACATTGGTATGGATCAACCAACTGTTCAAATATTGAGATGCATCTGTGCCAGCAGATCCTGGTCTCTGATTTCTCCTCATCACCTGACACCCTATCCTCTCATAGAACCCCTTAGAACCCCAAGTTAACTCCTGGCTCAGTCATGGTGTGCGTGTGTTGGGAGTATATGACTGGTGTCTGGTATCCATTCTGATTGGTCAGTACTGTACCAGTTTCTTAGACATTTTGACTATCACCCCTGGTTGTCAGCAACAAAAATAAACTATGTTTAAGCAAACCGGGATTTAGGAAGCCTCTCGCAGACTCCCAGAACTGATGGGGAAGCTAAAGGACCATGTTTGGCAATGGACAATAGTTGCAGGGTTCTGGCAGGAGACAGTATACTCAAATTAGGATAATTTGAAGAGGGTTGGATAAAGGGACTATTTCTAAGTAACCCCCGGCTTGAAGTTCCAGTTGCCAGGCAAAGGCAGGAAGTAATTAGCAGTCCAGAGAGAGAGTTGTATGTCAAGAGCTGTTGGACAGGAGCTGTGATCTTTTGCTGAGAGATGCAGCCAGCCCATGACTACCTGGTGGAGAGGGAGCCAGAGGAATAAATGCCCCAATCTCTCTTACCTTCCCCCTTCCCTCCCATTTCCTGTGGGGCTTCTTATTGGCTGCCCTCAGTGGGAAGCCAAGACAGGGAGCTGGTGTGCAGCACATACAAAGGGCAAGATGGGAAAGGAGGGGGAGTGACTCCAAGAGGCACACAGAAGATATTCAGCCCTGTAGGGAAGAGGCAGTTGTGACAAAGGATACTAGGGCCCTATTGGTCAAGAGGTATGGATGTCAGTAGATAAAAACCAATGTGCCAATTACCATACTGACCTCACAGGAGGGAGCACTGATCTCCTTAACTTGAGCTGCCACATTGTACACTCCAATGGGTACCTTGCAAATATTACACCATGTGGATGGCACCCACAGGAGATGGACAACATGGTGGCCCTGGCCCAACCATATGGACCACCGGAAAAGTGGTGGCCATTCTGACTTTACTGACCCCAACGACCCCTTTCCCATATGGGTAGCATTGTCTACAATGATGCTGACTTTGCTCATGTGCTAACATGCTGCTCCCATCATTGATCTTATTTTCCTGTGCCAGGTCTTCTGGGCCATTGGGACAGTGTTCGAGGTCATCCTGGCTGTGTTTGTGATGCCCAGCCTGGGCTGGCGCTGGCTACTCATCCTCTCGGCTGTCCCGCTGCTCCTCTTTGCGGTCCTGTGTTTTGTAGGTATCCTTTAAGACATCTCAGTCTTTGTCTCTTGGCCTCCTGCTACTCACTATATTCAGTGGGGAGGGGGTGAAGGAGGACACTGTCCTGTAAGGATTATTTTTAAGATATTGGGGGGGGGACTATGACAGCAACACCCATTAATAATAATAATAGCAATCATAACTACATGAACCCATTCCAGAGCCCTCATCCTAAAAGACACCACAACTAGATGGAATATGTGGCTGACACCCAGTGTCCTGTTCCATCCTAACCTGCCACACCTATCCCCACAGTGGCTGCCAGAGAGCGCAAGGTATGATGTGCTGTCTGGGAATCAGGAAAAGGCCATTGCCACCTTAAAGAGGATAGCTACGGAAAATGGAGCGCCCATGCCGCTGGGGAAACTCATCATCTCCAGACAGGTCAGTGCCTGGCCCATTGTCTGCATCCTATGTGTGTCTGTGCACCTGCATGGGAATGTGTGCATCATGGGACATGGTAAATCCTGAGACCAGCAAAAAGAGCAGAAACAGACCAATTCTCCAAAAGCCAATTTTCCTGAATTAACTTGGGAATGTATCTTTTTACAAAAAAACATGTTTCAAGGATCATTCTTTTTGAATATATGTAGTAAATGGAAATATATTTTTCCTATGTATATATCGATACATTTATTCCTCAAAATGTTCTCTCTACAAATATATTAATGAATCTATTCCAAAATATATTCAACAAATACATTCTCAAATATATTCAAGAAACATATTTAATGAATATTGTACTTTCAGGTACTAAAAAAAATACATTTTTATTCACAAAGATAATAGTCATAGGTAGACTAAACCACCTATAATCCATAATCTTTTTTTTAAGCATTTAGAATGTTTAAATAAGCATTTCTCAAACTAAGAAAAATATATTGATTAAATATATCTAAGAAAAATATAATCACAGTCATAAAATATACTCTTAAAAAGAGCTCTGTATAGTGTCTCAGTCTGTTAAGTATCTGCCTTCAGCTCAGATCATGAGGGTTGGAGCCCGGAGTCAGGCTCCCTGCTCAGTGGGGAGGTTGCTTCTCCCTCTCCCACTGCCCCTCCCCCTGCTCATGCTTTTTCTCTCTCTCTCAAATAAATAAATAAAATCTAGGAAAAAAAAGAACATTGTAGGGCAAATATTTGATATATTAGCAAATTATATGAAATTAGCAAGTGAGTCATTTTAATCAATCTTTTGACACATTGGCTTTTGGTGAATTGATTTTCAGCACATTAATTTTTGTGATCTTGACCTAGAGCTGGCTTAGGCAGAGCATGAAATGGTTAGACTCTCTTGGACTGACTGTCTGCTCCCTGGGTCCATGGGACTACCAGAGAGTCTTTGGGAGCCAAGCCCATGGAGTTGGCTTCCTGGCTCCAGGATTTCAGGCTGGGGTTGGGGATTGCAGAATGTCTCAATCCTTGGGGAATCAAGCCTGCAGACATTGCTAGATCCTAGCTGGAGGGCCTCACCGGGCTGGGGGACTTTGTGCTGGGGGATTGAGTCCTGGGTTCTCGGATCCTGAGCATTAGCCCACCAGCAACCTCCCTCCCAGTCGTGGGTGTCCACCAGTCTCTGGCTAGTGCCAGCTGGAGAAAAGGAGAGCAAACAGCATGTCCTTGTCTTGAAACAGGAAGACCGAGGCAGAATGAAGGATCTTTTCACGCCCCATTTTAGATGGACAACTTTGTTGCTCTGGTTTATATGGTAAGACTTGTTTCTTGACACTTTGATTCCCTTCTGCCTATGCTCTGTTTTGGGTTCTGTTTTATGTGATGCACAAAGAACTCTTTGATCTGAGGCAACAGTTACAAAATTCAGTGGTTTAAGCATCACTTTCCTGATCTCTGCCTTATCCAGGTATCACCTGTACTATTATTTTCTTAGTCTTTTTCTTTAATTGGACTCACTTCTTACTCAGATAAATGTATAAATATCTTTTTTAAATTAAGTTTTAAATTTTATTTCCAATATAGATAACATGCAGTGTTATTTTAGTTTCAGGTATACAATGTAGTGACTCAGCAAGTTTATACATCACTCAGTGCTCATCATGATAAATGTACTCTTAATCCTCATCATCTATTTCATCAAAACACCTTCCTACCTTCCCTCTGGTCACCATCAGTTTGTTTTCTATGGTTAAGAGTTTGTTTTTTGGTTTGTCTCTTTTTCTTTTCCATTATTTATTTTGTCTCTTGAATTCCACATGAGTGAAATCATATAGTATTTGTCTTTCTCTGACTTATTTCACTTAGCCTTACACTCTCTAGCTCCATCCCTATCATTACAAATGGCAAGATTTCATTCTTTTTTTATAGCAGAATAATATTCCATTGTGTGTATCTGTATGTGTGTATATTATGTATGTTATATACATACATATACATACAGTTTCTTTATCCATTCATCTAATTATGGACATGGGCTGCTCCCACGTGGCTATGTTTAATAATGCTGCAATAAACATACAGGTGCATATATCCTTTTAAATTAGTGTTTTTCTATTCTTTGGGTAAATACCCAGTAATACAGTTACTGGATCATAGGGTAGTTCTATTTTTAATTCTTTGAGGAATTTCCAAACTCTTCCAGAGTGGCTACCCCAGTTTGCATTCCCACCAATAGGGCACAAGGGTTCAGATAGATGTCTTCTAAGAGGGAATTTTACGTCTGCTTTAAAGAAACAAATCTTAATTGCAGGCCATAGATTTTCAAGAGAAATACAGTAAACAGTAGCTAGATTGATGATTTGCCAAGACAGTGAACTGCTGTATTTAATAAAGAGACACAGAGAGAGGGTAGGTGTTAAGGACTCATTAGCAAGTAAATGAGACTAGGAAACCACCAAAATACAGTTGAAGAACAATGCAGAAAGGGGGTTAAAGGCACAGACCCCTGAGCAGTCAAAAAAATTTTTTGACTCCTCAAAACTTAACTAATAGCCTCCTATTGACCAGAAGACATACTGATAACATAAACAATAAGCACATGTTTTGTATGTTATATCTATTATATACTATATGTTAAAGTAAGCTTAGAGGAAAGAAAATGCTATTAAGATCATGTGGAGAGAAAATGTACTTGCAGTAGTGTACTGTGTTTATTGAAAAAAATCTCTTTACAAGGGGGCCCTGAGCAGTTCAAACCCATGTTGTCCAAGGGTCAACTGTAATTGAAAGGAAATGTAAAATAGGAATTTTTGTCACAATGATATTTAATATACCCACTCCATTAAGTTGCGTTCTTGGCTCATATGGCCTTGGATACCACCAGTGGTGGTATGTATTTTCCTTAAAAAAAAAAAAAAAAACAACAGCCATTCTGATGTCTGGATGTGGGCAGGATGGGAGGGAGGGATTTGTACAGAGTAATAACCTGAAAATCCACAACTAGTTAAATCTCAGCTATTCCTTGAACTTTCTTTCTACCAAATCATGTATACAGCATGAACAGTGTGCAGAAGGGACCTTGCTAACACTCTGCATTCTACTTTAACCAGTTCTCACTTTTCCCATGCACCTTTGAGTAGAGGTGCTAATTAGCAGGAGATTGCCCTGAAAAGTGTTCAGTTGCAAGGAAGGGGAGGGGAAAGCTTTGATAATACACAGAACTGGGCTCCAGTTCTGCCCCTGCATTCCTGAGAGCTGAACCAGGCATTTATTAGATACCTATTCTGTGCCCAAGTGTAGAATCTGTAGGATTTTTAAAAAGGGAGTGGTGGTGGGAGACCAGGTTGAGGGTATCTATCTTTGCATGCATGAGATTCAGTTGGGCCAACACTACCCAAATACAAAAGCAATTAATACAAAGACTAATTTTTGCATGCTACAGAAATCGCTAAATTTGCTAGCACATATTGTAACCCAAGGAAATTCATTACTGTGGTCTGATTATGGCAGTTTCCACGTGACTATCACAGGATAAGAATGTTCTGATCCTACAGGCTTGAGTGTTATAGTTCCTGGGACCATCGGAAATTAATTAACTGTTTCATTCTGATCTGAAATTTTAGGTAAGTCTGTAGAATCCATACTTGTACAGGGCACACAGCAGGTGTTTAATAAATGCTTGGTGAGTTGATCCAGCTCTCAGGAGTTCAAGGGCAGAGCTGGAGCCCAGTGTTCTGTATTATCAAAGCTTTCTCCTCCTCTCTCCATGTTGACCAGCTTGGCCCAGAAGCCCTGAGAGATGTCAGCCACAACTGTGTTCCTCCAAATTTTGGTCCCTTATACTTGTTTTCCCTATTGCCAGTTGAATAACCAGCTTTGAGTGTTCTCTGTGATATAATGCTGTTCTTGGTCTTTTAAATGACCCAAGATCACGTCCCTTAATCATATCACTATGCTTTGTACACCATTTGTCTGTTCAAGGGCTCCAGGAAAGCCCCCCAACATCCCTGTGTCACCCATATCCAAAGACTGGTCCTCACTGCTATAGATGCAAGTCCTTCCTGAGGGGATGGGGAAAGGGGACTTGCATATCTCTCATCATTTCTTTACCTCTTCTTGTTTCCTTTCTGACAGGTTTTCCAATGCGTTTTCTTACTATGGATTAGTTCTACTCACCACTGAGCTCTTTCAGGCAGGAGATGTCTGCAGCAGTGAGTATCAAACTACCATACTCCCACCATACACAGTCGTACGTGCATGCTCACCCCAGGTTCCACCTGTCCTGACCTGGGCCATGCACAAATGCCAGTGGCATTACCCTGCAGACTTCTAGGAGAAAGTCTCTGCCAAATCTGAGCATAGAAGACCTGGACTGTGGTCTCCAAGATACTCTGTAGAAAGCTGAACAATCTTGTCATGATAGAAGTGACATTACAGCAGTCATATCTCATGTCACTTAAAGAGCTCAGTGATGTACAGCCCTGAGTCTGGTGGCCATGACCCTATGCAGCAATTTCACGTGCATGTGAAATCTGAGAACCAGGTTGTATCTCAACTCTGGCCACACAACAGAATCACCTGGGGGGAGCTTTTAAACAACACCAGCACCAGGTTAAACAAAGCCCAGACCAATTTAATCAGCATCTCTGGACCCAGAGATTAGTGGCTTTTAAAAGCTCCCCAGGTGATTCTATTGTGCAGCTAGAGGTGGAACCACTGGACAAAAGGAACAAATAGAAAGCATAGTCTAGGCACCTGAGTGGCTCAGGCAGTTGAATATCAGCCTTTTACTCAGGTCATGATCTCCAGGTCCTGGGATGGAGCCCTGCCTTTAGTGGAGCTTCCTGCTCAGCGGGGAGCTTGCTTCTCTCCCTCCCTCTCCCTTTGCCCCTCCCCACCACTCTTTCTCTCTCTCTCTCAAATAAATAAACTCTTAAAAAAGACAGCAAAGTCTATGCAAATCCTGGGCTTTCAAACCATTCTATTTTTTTTTTTTTTTAAGTTCCTAACATTGAACCCAGGGTAGAGGATAAAGGGATCAAGTTCTTGCTTGTCTGCAGGATTTGCCTAGTTACCTTTTTCATATTAAGCCTCTAGAATATTAGCTAATAGTTTGGTTTATTGGTACAAGGATTTAATGAGTTGGTGGTTCAGTTGCAGATCTGGGGTTTAGTGTAGATTGAGTATAAATCACATGCTCCTAACAGTGGATCCACTTAAGCAAAGCAGAGGATCCAGAGGAATGTTACAAAGCACAAGTTGGTAGACTTTATCTATAAAGGGCCAGAGAGGGCACCCCGGGGGACTCCGTGGTTTAGCATTGCCTTTAGCCCAGGGTGTGATCCGGAGACCAGGGATGAGTCCCACATCAGGCTCCCTGCATGGAGCCTGCTTCTCCCTCTGCCTGTGTCTCTGCCATTCTGCCTCTCTCTCTCTCTCTGTCTCTCCATCTCTCATGAATAAATAAATAAAATCTTTTTAAAAAAGTGCCGGAGAGTCAATACTTTAGGCTTTGTGGGCCATACACCTCTGCTGTGGAGCAGGAAAGTAGCTGTGGTCAATAGGTTAACGAACAAACATTGTTTGTGTTCTGATAAAACCTTATTCATGACTGCAAATTTGGATTGCATATCATTTTATGTCAAGTGTTATTCTTTTTTGATCTTTAAAAATAATTTTAAAATGTAAAAACCATTTTTAGTATGCAGGCCGGGCAGAAATAGGCAGGAAACCAGATTTGACCTTCAGGTGATAGTTTACCAACTCCTGTTTAAAGCTCTTTCTTATACCTGAGTGGAAAAGTGATATTGTGGAACAAGCCCATAGCTGGAAATCAGGGAGCCTGAGTTCTAGCACCAAGTGGTTGTGTGACCTTCGACAAGTCATTCATTCAATATTTTCTATCTGCCAGGTACTGATCTAGGTGTTAGGATACATCAGTGAATACAAAAGACAAATATCCCTACCCTTTGAGCTCATATTTTGGTGAAGAAAGAGAAAAAGCGAGAGAATAGCATAATAAGTAAACAAAACTTGCATGTTGGAAGGAGATAGGTGTGCTAAAGAAAAATGTTTAAAGAAAAGGTAAAATCATGCCTCTCATACAAATATACAATGAAACATGTCAAAGATTTTATTTTATTTAACCCATCAAGTAATGAAAGAACCAGGTAAGAACTGTGAAAAGTCTGAGGATTTACCTATTTGTAAGCTAACAAGTTAGTCTCCCACAGCTTCCACAGTTGCTCACAAAAAGACACAACATTCCTGGATCAGAGACAAAAGACTTTATTACTCACAATAATAGCAGGAGATAAGTATCAGCATTTCCTTACACCAGTAAGGAGCTCCCATTCCCACAGGGCAATGTGAAGAGGGAGGTAAAAGCTGCAAAAGCAATGGGTTATGTTAAGAGTGAAGATCTCTGAGCTTAGGGCATCTAGCTCTCTTCTACTGGATGGTAAAGGGTTAAAGCAGGTAAAGCCTGCTCTTGCCCTGCGGGGAGACCCTGTGCCTCCAAAGGCTATCAGCAAACCTGCCCCTTGCTCCAAAGGTAGATCCTTCCTGTCAAAGTTGTTGGTTAAAGGTCCTTGAAAAGGTAGTCCACACTTGACAGGATGAGCACTGGGTGTTATTCTGTATGTTGGTAAATTGAACACCAATAAAAAATTAATTTATTAAAAAAAAAAAGAAAAGGTAGTCCAGAACAAAGACAGTTGGTGTCTTTGCTTATGAAACATGCAGAAATGTGAGCAACCCATGGAGGATTGTCTACTAATGCCAGTAAGAGGTTACAACTGGTTCAAAGGAGAATTCAAAAAATAAATGTATAGAGGCAATCAGAAATACTGAAAAGGCTTTTCAGTTGGAGGTACGATTTGTCAGTACACATAAGACAATCAGTTGCATCACTAGACACAATTTACATTTTGATGGACAAGAATCAATTGCATTAATATCAATATTCTCTCTTTTTAAAAGATTTTATTTATTTGAGAGAGAGAGAGCACAAGCAGGGAGGAGAGGGAGAAGCAGGCTCCCTGCTGAGCAAGGACCTCCATTTGGAGCTTGATTCCAAGACCCTGAGATCATGACCTGACCCAAAGGCAAATGCTTAACTAACTGTGCCACCCAGGTGCCCTGCATTAATATCAGTATTTTATAATGTGCATAGATCAAAGATAATGAAAGGTGCTACAACCTGTAAGGGTGCATTAGACAAAACATTTTGCTCATTTTGAAGAATTCCATGCTATTTCTTAACAAATGTATGGGAAAAAAAGATAGTTGAGCAGGATAAGGGAGGTCAAGAATAAGGGGCAGAGTAAGGGGCAGTGAGTAGGTTGAAGTTTTGAATGGGATGATCAAGATGGCCTCCATGAGGTGAGATTTAAAGAAAGACATGAGGGATGCCTGGGTGGCTCAGCGGTTGGGCGCCTGCCTTTGGCTCAGGCTGTGATCCCAGGATCTGAGATCGAGTCCCGCATCAGGCTCCCTGCATGGGGCCTGCTTCTCTCTCTGCCTGTGTCTCTCCCTCTCTCTCTTAGTCTGTGGCTCTCATGAATAAATAAATCTTTAAAAAGAAAGAAAGACATGAAGGGGTGGGGAAATTAGTTACAGGGGTATATAAAGAGCAATCCAGGAAGAGGCAGCCAGTGCAAAGATTCTGAGGCAGAAGTGCTGAAGGAACAGCAAGGAGATCGGTTGGTTGGAATACAGTGAGCAGAGCAAGGGAGAGACTGAAGGTAGGATCAAGGAAGTAACGGGGGCCAGATAATATAGGTGGGGACCAGGACACCTGGGTGGCTCAAAAGGTTAAGCGTCTGTCTTCTGCTCAGGTCATGATCTCAGGGTCCTGGGATTGAGCCCCACGTCGATCGGCTGAGCCTGATTCTCTCCCTCTCCTTCTATGCTCTCTCTCTCTCTCTTTTTAAAGATAAATAAAATCTTTAAAAAAATATATAGGTGGGGAACATAAAGGCCACCCTGGAGTCTGTCTGCCATGAAAACACATAGTATGTGCCAATTCTGGGCTAAGCACCTTCATAAGCACAGCCTGATTTCATTCTCCCAACTACCTTGCACAGTGGTTTTATTAGCTCCAGTTTAACGAAGAAACTGAGGCTCAGAGAGATAAAGCCATAGCTCCGCTGGTTGGGATTCACATCTGAGTCTGTCTCGCTCCAGAGCCTGGGCTCTTTCCACGGTATCCCAGCTGAATCATACCCAGGGAACGAGGAGGGGGAGCAGGAGGGTGTGGTTCAAGGTTCTATGCATGGCTCTTCTTTCTCCTGTCTCCCACCTCCCCAGTCTCTAGCCAGAAGAAGGCAGTAGAAGCGAAATGCAGCCTGGCCTGTGAGTACCTCAGTGAGGAGGACTACATGGATCTGCTGTGGACTACTCTCTCTGAGTTCCCAGGTGAGGAACCTGTGTGAGGTGGGGCTGGGGCAAGGAAGCCTGTGAACGTGGCAGCTGTTCATCTGGTGCTGCCTGGAAGCAAATTCCCTTTCTAGGGGAGCTGGATATTATTTTTTCAACCCTTAGCTACAAGGTGACAAAAACTGTGAAGGCTACTCTATTTGAAGGCTAACAAATTAGGCTGCCCATTGTCACACTCACTGACAGAAGACAAGAGATTCCTGGGTCAGAAACAGAGACTAGCAAGCAACGACTAGTCTATAAGTGTCAGCACCCCTCGCTCCCAAGTCTCACGAGGATGATGAGAGAGGGTCCAGGTAGATGCTACACGTGCAGGTGTAAGCGGGTATAGCTGTTGTGCTCTAACTCTGGTCCTTTGGTCAGAACCAGCTCACCAAAATGCATACAAAAGCTGATAATAGATGATGGTTGCTACTTGAGGAATTCCCTGAGTGTTCTCTTCCATGGGCCTGATTGACCTACTGCTCCCTATATTCTTGACCCTTATATTCCACAGTTTACCTTGACTTCCCAATATTTTTCTTCAGTCCCTTTTTCACTTTGCTTACCTGAGGAATCCCAGGCTTAGGGAACTCAAATCTCTTATAATGGGCTGCCGGAAACCTGCCCAGCTTTTGCTCCAGAGAGAGACACATCATCTTTATTGTACTGGACAATAAACAGACCTGCCCCTTGCTCTGGAAGAAAAGAGTATCTCCATCTTTCAAGGCTGTTGGCTCTCCAAATGAAATGATAGCTTGGGACAAAGGGAAGCTGGTGTCTTTGCACTTAAGAAACACAAGAGATGCATAATTGTCTTCTACCAGCACTCACCCAGGATCAGTGGAATGTCAAGAAAAAATCCAAACCTGCACATAAAGTGAAGGTGATCTATGTTTTTTCCTTTAAAAAAGCAGTAAGGAAAAATAAATAAATAAATAAATAACCAACCAACCAGTAAGGATTACAACAATAATAGTATCTGGTATATATTGAGTGTTTGCTGTATGTATATTTGGCTCTATACTAAATTTTTTATAGGTATGTCCCATTTAGTCTTCTGAAGTAGCAAAATTATCCCCATTTTACAACTGAAGAAACTAAGGCCCAGAGAGGTGTAGCAAAAACTGTTCCTGCAACTTGCAGCTGCCAGTGTCTGCATCGTTGTGTCTGAGTGCTATCTCAGGAGGAATGGAAAGGCTCAAGATCTAAAAGCAAGCAAGGTGGCTAGAAGTGCCAGGGAGTTAACACCTGGGAACTGCTTTCAAATAATAACTGCAGGAGTTGGTGATATGTAAAAATTCTAAGATGCATGTTCCACACTGGCTTCCAGAGCCCCCCAGTGGAATTCTATAGCAATTGCCCACAGTGGTAACTTGCTTAATGGACACTCTTGCCTTCCCTTCTCTATCTTACTTTCTCATCCTCCCACTGGTGCTTCTTTGGGTTACCTCTCAAGCAAACACTTGTACGTGGGCCCTTGTCCCAGAGTCTGCTTCTAGAAGAGCTCAACTACAATATTAAGTGTCCTACACCTGGCAGAGCTAAAAACTGAGGTCCCACCACAGAGACCAGAGTCTTCACTCCTATACTACCCTGTCTTTCATCTACAACCCTTCCCCCATATAGCCCTGTGGGTAAGACTAGGGGCTTAGAGTTAGACCACATGGCCAATAACCATTTCTGTGCCTTAAAGCACCATGACTTTTCAATGATTTCCATGATTTTACTTTTCAGAAACTCAGATGATTCTTATTTATTACATTTATGATTTGTTGTTTCTGTTCACTGGCACATCCCAAGGCTCTTAGAACAGTTCCTGACACACAGTAGGCACTTAATTTTTTGATGGAATATGTATGGGGAATGGGGCTATTGATAGCATTTATTTTAGGGGTTTGTTTTGGTGATTAAGCAAGATAATAGATCCAAAAGTGCTGAGCCCAGATTTAATAATTATTATTAAAATTATTCATAATAAGCATTATGCTATACTGCCTCTACTGAAGTAGGGAGTCTTATTTTTATTGAGTCCCATTTACAAATGAAGTAACTGAGGCTCAAAGAAGACAAGGGACAAACCCAAGACCACATAGCAAGTCAGAGGCAAGAGTAGGCCTTAGAACCCAGGTGATTCTGACTCCCATCTTAGGTGTCCATTACCTGGATTCAATGAGTGCCACATCCCTTGGTGCCTATATTAGTTATCTGTTGCTGTGTAACAAATTCTTCTATATTTTAGTGGCTTCAAACAACGTATTTATTCCTCACAGTTTCTGTGGGTCAGGAAGCTGGGAGTGGCCTACCTGGGTCCTCTGCTTCAGTGTATCCGATAAGACTGCAACAGAGGTGTTTGCTCAGAGTCTGCAGTCACATATGAAAGCTCAACTTGGGCAGGGTCTGGGTCCACGCTCACTCACATGGTCATTGGCAGGATTCAATGCCTCCAGGGTTGTTGGACTGAGAAACTCAGTTCCACTGACTGTTGGCCAGAGGCCACTTTTAGGCCAGCACCTAAGAAGAGTCAGAGGGAGAGAGAATGCCAGCAAAATGGAAGCCACACATTCTTTTATAACTTCAACCCAGAAGTGACATCCCAATGCTTTTTTGTATTCTAGTCATTAGAAGAGACTCGCTAGGTCCAGCTCACTCTCAGGGGCAGGGAATTATAAAGGGTGTGAATACCAGGAGATGGGGGGCATTGGGAGCCATATTGGAAGCCACCTGCCATGGTGCCTCTGCTCTCTCCCAGGTGTCCTTGTGACTCTATGGATTATTGACCGCCTGGGCCGCAAGAAGACCATGGCCCTTTGCTTCGTCATCTTCTCCCTCTGCAGCCTCCTGCTGTTCATCTGTGTTGGAAGGTGGGTTGTGAAACCAGCTCTCCCCGGCCAGCAGACTCACATCTTAGGTCATGGTCACTGGCTCTTTGGGACTATAAGCTGTGGACTACACTCATGGTGGTCATCTGAGAGACACCCCCTCCCCAGCCCCTCACTAGGACTGGGGCTCTGGACCACAAGATCAGACTCGAATTTGGGCCTGGGTACTCGATGGGGGTAGGACTAGGAGGGCGCTTTGGTCCAGGTTTTGCTCCAACATGCTCACATTTAGACTTTTGACACTGTCTCCTGGTGAAATTATGCATACAACTGTTTATATATGGGTTAAAAGTATTCCTTTGTTCAACGGAAATACTTCCTGTTGTATAATCCCTTTTTGGCATTTCTCCATTTTCCCATCTATCAAGATAGAAGTGGCTTGTGCCTCTCTTGATCTCAGAGAGGTACCAGACCAAAGCTGATGAGGACTTTGTGGAAAGCCTGGAGAGGTAGTTTACACCCTGACGTGTTGCTGTTCTTAGACATTTATGGGAACAATGGATCAGAGGGTCAGGGACCAGGATTATCCTAAAAATACTGCACAGAAGTTTACTTTCACTGGTTCAGCTGGTTCCTGACTCTAGAAAGTCCTGTCTGGGTTTTCAATGATTTATATCACTCCCCTCTGACCTTGCCCCCAACCTGGGCACCACAGATGTTTGCAGCTCTTGATCTGGAACTTTGGAGAATGATAGACTTATAAAGGCAGGCCTTTAGAGAAGGCACCGACATGGTGTGCCAGTGTGGAGGTGGGCTGTGCCAATTCCTAGGGTATAAATTCTGCTGGGACAGATAAGACTTTGCTGAAACAAGCCAACAGAAAAAAATACCTGCTCACCTTTTTTTTTTCTCTCTCTCTCTCCCTAGAAATATGCTTACTCTGTTACTCTTCATTGCAAGAGCATTTATTTCTGGAGGCTTCCAGGCAGCCTATGTTTACACACCTGAGGTAGGACAAGTGTCTGGGAGCAGCTGGGAAGGGGAGGGAGGGAGCTCTGCCTCCAGCAACACCCAGCCTGGGATCCTCAGCATGAAATTTTTTTTTATTTTTTTTATTTTTTTATTTTTTTTCTTTTTTTTTTTCTCAGCATGAAATTTGTCTGTGGGTCTGTCTGAGTAGTTACTGTGAAGCTCTTCATTATTTCAGGCTATCTTTCAATCATTTTTTTCTGCTTATGAAAGCTGATGTTCAACATAAAAGTTCCAAATGGTATTGATTTGCATAAAACCAAAAATTAAAGGGCCCCACATTCCCCCTTCGTAGATACAAGCTTTTTGGATAGTTCAGTTTTCTTCTAGGCATATACTAATTTATGTTAGTGCATGTACCAAATTGGGAAAGTGAGCAACTGGGAAGAAATTTATTTTTTTAAAAGATTTTATTATTATTCATGGGAGACAGAGAGAGAGAGAGAGAGAGAGAGAGAGAGAGAGAGGCAAAGACACAGGCAGAGGGAGAAGCAGGCTCCATGCAGGGAGCCTAACGTGGGACTTGATCCCAGGTCTCCAGGATCACGCCCTGGGCCGAAGGTGGCGCTAAACCACTGAGCCACCCGGGCTGCCCTGGGAAGAAATTTAATAAAGAAACTAATTACAATGGTGTGAAAGCAGTAAAGCAGTGCCCCAGAGCTTGCACTGGGGTGGAGGTAGCTGGGGACACTTCTGCCGTCCAAGGCCAGTGGGGTGAGGAGAGAGGAGAGTTCCAGCGTCCCTGAGAGACCTGTATAGAGAGAAATTGTGGCCTTTAGTTGAAAGGTACATGTGGCCTGAATCAACCTGGCAGGGAAAGAGCAGGAGAATAAAGACCCAGACCTCTCTCTTCTACCTCCTTCCCATCTTCCACTGGGGCTTCCCATTGGCTGAGCCCAACCAGAAGCCAGAGGGCCAAGGAACAAGCCCTTTGTGGTCCAGGTAGGCCAACCCCAGGGCAGAGAATGAGGTGGGGAATTCTGGAGGGGAAGGTTGAAGACAATGAGCACAGGACATGTGGATCTACTTTGTTCTTTTCAATAGCTGCTCTACTCCACTGCACTATATGATATACAGTATGTTCTATATATAATGTATCCTATAATATCCTAATATATACTATACTATACCATATAGTGTATATATACTATATGTATTATATACCATCCCTTTAACTCTACTATATATTATATATACTATTCTGTTATACTACATACTATATATACTATATGTATTATATACTATACCATATAATATATATACTTTATATTAGATATTATATTATACTATGTGGTATATATACACATAAATATTAATATACTTTACTATATAGTATAGTAATGAGACAAATCATAATTTTATAACAATTCTACTAATGGATATTTGGACTGTTTTCCAGCTTTTTACTATTACAAATAATGCCAAGGTAAACAGCTTTATATACTCTTGTGCACGTGTGTGCTTCCTGTAGAATAAATGTCAAGATGTGGAATTGCTAAGTTAAAGCCTATAAACATTACAAACATTGAGAGGAATTGAAAACTTGCCCTCTAAAATGTTGCATGAATACACCCCACACGATAGCATTGGAGCATGTCCAATTTCCCACACTCAGGGTTTATGGTTTCTTCATTTTATATCTATTGTATTTTATTTCATCTTATTTCAGATAGGAGCAAAGGGAGGAGGAGAATATTATGTACCAGATGCTGTGCCAGGGGAAGGAGGGTGTCTAGGTTATCCCTCATTCCCACAGCACTCCAGAGCTCTCAATTTGAGTCAGCATCCTGAACCCTGCCTGCTCCCTTCACTGCATCATAGGTTTAGCACCAGTCCTGCCTCCTCCAAGAAGCCCTCCCAGCTCTCCCCCTCCCCTGACTTCCTTTTGCTGGACAGTGTCTGTGACCTTCTATTAATACACTGTCTATCAATCTGTTTGAAATTGTAAACTGTGGAATACCCATTGCAGAATACAATTACAGCAGTTAAATAGAATGGGGTATATATCTATATACTGATGTCCATAGGATTTTAAGACATAGTGCTGAATGGATAAAGCAAATTGCAGACTGGTAAGTATGAAATGATACGACTTAACACATCTGGGTGGATCCATTCCAATCTTCATAATAGTGAGGACCTCTGGGAGAAGTTGTAGATCAAAGGGAGTTCATGTGTTTTGATTTCTGATAAGGAGAATATATGTATATATTGCCTGTGTCATTGGGTGGCTTAAAATATCATATGTAAATGTATATGGTAGGTAGTTAGAAAATATTTGTTGATTGAATAAATAAATTAATGCAGGTGTGTATACAGTCATAGAAAATTCTAGAAGGATATACATGGAAATGTGACAATGGTCATCTCTGAGTGTCGGGATCATGCACGAGCTTTGTTTTTCCCTTTACATGCTTCATTCTTCCCAAGCTTCTGCACCGAGCACTGTAGCTATTAGAGGTGTGCTCGCTGCTATAACAACTCCCCAAGTGGATAGAACTGACACATCAGAAGTTTCTCATAAATGAAACAGTCCAATATGGGTATGCTTTCACTTCCACAGTGATTCAGGGACTCAAGTTCCTTGCATCTTGCAAATTCCTCAACCACCATTAACAAAGGGTGATTTTGCCCCCCAGAGGACATTTACAAGGCCTGCAGATATTTCAGACTGTCACAACTCGGGGAGAGCTGTGTAGAAGGTGCTATTGGCACCTAGTGGGTAGAAGCCAGAGATGTTGCTAAACGTCCTACAATGCACAGGACAGCCCCTCATCATGAAGAAGGACCCATCCCCAAATGTCCATGGTGTCAAAGTTGAGAAATCTTGCCCCAGTGCTTTGGAGTCCAGCAAGCAGACTGGGGAAGGGAGTGGAGAAGACGTGCCTACTTCTAAATTACCTTGGCCTGGAAGGTGCACAGTCACTTTGCCTAAGAGAGAGCTAGGCACAGGGCCACTCCTGGGTACACACTGAGAAACTGTGGAAATATTTCCATTACGGTCTTTATGAAATGCTTTGAAGAGCCGTGACCAGTGCTTCAAGGTAAATGAATGAAAAGTGGCAGGAAGAACAGTATCTGAATCCTGAATGGGCTGCAGTTCCTGGTGGAGTCTTTGGGGGCCTCCCGGGGCAGGGAGGACCCCCCCTTACTGGGTTCCCACCCACAGCTTGGCTTCTTGCCTTCTTTCTCAGTTGAACTTCTATCCCCTTTGAGATGAGAATCCCCACCTGGTCTCCCACCTCTTGATGTGGTCACCAACTACCCCAGTAATTCATGCTAACTTCAGGCTTGCCCGTGGGGGTCAGTCCCATCAGTCCTGAGCTCAAGAGGAGGAAGGATCCTGCATTTTCTCAAGCCCACATTGATGGCTGTGTTTCAGGTCTACCCCACGGCAACTCGAGCACTGGGCCTGGGCACCTGCAGTGGCATGGCAAGAGTGGGTGCTCTCATTACTCCGTTCATTGCTCAGGTAAGTGTCACCTCCAAATACAGAGGGGGTGGGCATGACACAAGCCCAAGCATGGCAACCAGTTACTCCATGCTGAGCCTTCTGCAGAGCTCTTGAGGTGTGCATTATCTTATTTTACCTTAACAACCCATCCTATGAAAGGAGTAGTATTGCTAATAAATGAGAAAACAGGCTTAGAAAGGTAAAGGGACTTGTCCAAGGCCACACAGCTGGGAGGGAGAGAAACTGGGACCCAAACCCAAGTCTTTCCTATGCAGAAGAGCCTGGGGGTGCCATATTATTTGGCCAAATCCTAATTGGATGAAAACAAGTGAGATGAAAACAAATTGTTGAAAACAGCGTGATGTAGTGGGAAACAGATGTCTCAGACCCTGGTTTCTGAGTTGGATGATTGGGCATATTTGCCCAATTTTGCAGCCCCCTAGTGTGTCTTGAAGCATTTTTATACATTTCAAGGGATCTTATTTTGAAGTCGTTTTGGTTTTTTGATATCCAATTCATTTTTTTCCCTGTCTTTATCACTTTTTCTACTGAGGTAAAAGTCACATAACATAAAATTAACCATTTTAAAGTGAACTATTCAGTGGCATTTAGCACATTTACAGCATTGTGCACCTCCAACTCTATCTAGTTCCCAAACCAGGTATTTTCATCAAATAAAACTCCATATCCACTAGGCAGCCACTCCCCATTTCTTTTCTTCCCCAGCCCACCACCAATGTGAGTTTTTTAAAAAGTAAGCTCTCTACCCAATGTGGGGCTAGAACTCACAACCCTGAGATCAAGAATTGCAAATGCAACCCACTGAGCCAGCCAAGCACCCCCCATGCATTCCATCTGCATGAATCTATCTGTTCTGGATATTTCACATAAACAGAATTTCGCCACGTTTCAGCCAAGTACCTCAGTTCTGGGCTTCTGTGTTTGGCCATTGTGTGTCACTACTTCCTGCTGTTGAGAGCTGCCCGTGTGCCTGCACGGTGCTGAGTCCTCTCGAGGTATCCTGTTATTAAGAGGTAGATGGTGCCCCTACCGATTTGGCAGACAAGACAAAGGGCTTTAGCTCTGCTGTTAAGCTAGAAAGTCAGCAGACGTACTGCTGTGAGAGAGAGTGTAGATTCAAGGGATACAGACACTTGGGCCTGACGGGGCCTGAGCTCAAATCCCAGCCCCATCCTTAGTATCTGTGTGGCCTAGAGTATGCTATCTAACCGTCTTTGAGGCTCAGGTTTTCCCTCTGTAAAATGGGGACAATTACCTGGCTCTTCGTTGTGAGGACTGAAGATGGGATAATGGCACAGAGCGTTTACAAGAGGGCCTCCCATCATCAATACTTCCTGAATGGTTGACGGTATCCGTGCTTCAGGAGGGCCACTCTCACCAGCATGTCTCCCTCCCCCAGGTCATGCTGGAATCCTCCGTGTACCTGACGCTGGCGGTTTACAGTGGCTGCTGCCTCCTGGCTGCCCTGGCCTCCTGCTTCCTGCCCATCGAGACCAAAGGCCGCGGACTGCAAGAGTCCAGCCACCGGGAGTGGGGCCAAGAGATGGTCGGCCGAGGGACGCATGGCACAGGCGTCACCAGGTCGAACTCTGGCTCTCAGGAGTAGTGACCGATGCGGGGCTGAGCTGGTCTTTGAGGCTGTGGGATGCAGGGAGCTGGTGGAGCCACCTGGGGCACCGGCCGTCACTGCCGACATCAAGAACTCACCCAGGAGGACAACCTGGACCAACAGGGTTTTGTGTCTTGACTCTGTTTGCTCATATTCATTGAGATCCACCTGGGGATGGGGAGGCATTTGTTCTGGGGGGGTCTCTGTCTGTGTGTGGGAGGTTTGTTAATTACCTGTGGACCTGCATGGGAAAACTGTCACCTTAGGAGTGGCCAGTGCTCCCAGTAGCCAATCAGATGCCATCCAGAGTCAGCCAGTCACAGCCTTGGTGAACAACAACCCACAAATCTCTGTAGATACAGTCCTGGCCCAGAGCCCGGTAAGACCTGCCACCCAGGGAGTCAACACCTGCTGCCCACCAGCAGGACCCATTCAGTAGGTTTCTCCTACACACCCGGCCCCAGGTTTTCTTCTTTGAAATTGCAGGTGACCCGGCTATGGCCTGAACAGCTTTCTCCTGGGTCTGAGAGATGCTCTTTTGGAAGGGGCCCCTTGGTCTGCCTCCCTCCCCAGGGCCTGACTAGTGGAGAAACTCTGGCAGATGTCTCTTGACATCTGAACTTTTGATGTCAAGTTTTTGAACTTGAACCATGTGTCTCCTTCTGGCCCCCTCTGGAGTTGCTCTTCCTGGCTCCAGGGGAATCCATGAGTCCGTGGGGACAGCTGGACTTCTACCAGACTGCAACCTCAGAAAGCTGTCATCCTCTGCCTCCCCCAGGATTTGGACTGAGACCAGAGAAGTGAGGATAAAGCCCAAAGCCAAAGGGGGTCCTTCCCTTCAGAAGCAATGAAGGCCACACCAGGGGCTTCTTTTCTGACCCCTTTGTGGTCAGGCTGGTTGGTGACTCTTGGAGAAAGAAAATAGTTAACTCAGGTTTCAGTGCTTTGGATATTGAGGGTGGGTAACTGGCTACATGGGCAGAGGAATTGAAAAGATGCTACACCAACCACCCACTCCCACCAGGGTCAGGGAACCAGGAGTCCTCCCCCCCACCCCCCTGGTTCTTGCTTACCCCTGCTGTGAAGGGCTGGCTTGGTCTTTACATAGAGGCAGCTCCTGGGGTCCAGCGATATTCTCTGTCACTGGTGGGGAGTTACGGGAGGGCCCAGATTTGTGACATGTGTACATTTTCAAAGGAAGAGAGGACAGTCAGTTGGGTTTTGGTTGGCCTCGGGAGGAAGGGCTGACGCCAGCAGACAACATCCACCTCCAGGATTTGGTTTCCATGAGCCCTTTCCCCATCGTGAAGGCAGGGAGCTAGAGGAGGAGGAGGAAGCTGCTGGATCCCATCAAAGGCCAGAGAAGACTGACCTTCTGCGTGGAGATGCCTGCTTGAAGTAAACATTTTGAGGAAGCCAATTGTGTACGTTCATCTCTTATTAAAACATGTTGGTGATGGACATTGTAAGGGTTGAAGTTTGTCCATGTGTCATGATGTCCTAGTGACAGTTCAACTTAAGGATCTTGCCAACTTTGTCCATCCAGGGTAATCTCAATGCTTTAATATGATAATCTTTCCAATAAGGCGGACAAGTTGTACCATTGGCCGCCATATGTTGTGACTTTGAGTCTGTTGGAGACAACACGTTCTTCTGATGGTGTGGAGTGGAGGCCACAGTGGGTGACTATTGTAGCCTCAGGTCCTGGATCGATGGCAAACAATTCCGTGTTCCTGAAATATAGACTGTAGCCCCCTCAGCCCACGCAGTCAGAGAGGAAGTGGTTTGGTAGATTTATCTCTCTTGGACACCCACATTTCCTTGAGCTATGGGTGACTATGGCTCTAATTCTTTCTGGTCTGCTGAGCTCTTCTGGGTAACATGAAACATTAGCCTGTCTTTTTTTATTTTTATTTTTTGCCTTCCAGCTGGTCAGACACTGCCAGATGAACATGTTCACTCTCTTCACCCTCAAATAACCTGGAAGAGCTGGGGGCTGGGGTGGGGTAGGAATGCTTGGTGGGCAGAAATGTTTTCCAGGCCCTGGGATAAAGAGGCTTGCGGTTGAGGGTTTTCTCTTCTTGAGAAAATGAATGTTTAAAACTCTTTGCCTTCTATATTGCCTACCCTTAAAAAATAATCAGTATTATTGAATGATTCAAGAAATGCCACCAAAGTTGTCCAAGCTCTGAAATATTCAAGGCCTTTAGCTGAAGAGATTTGTATCTAAATTTGAACTGTCCAAACGCTCCTATTTCTATTAATGGAAATGTCATTGTTTCTCTCAGTGTTAGGAAAGATTTCAGAAAATGGTAAAAGATGGTCAAGGTAGCTAAAGTTGTGTGGTTTCTTTCCCTCCCTTACTCTGAATATTCTGTATTTTTTTAAAAAGATTTCATTTATTTATTCACGAGAGACACAGAGAGGGAGGCAGAGACATAGGCAGAGAGAGAAGCAGGCCCCCCACAGGGAGCCCAATGCAGGACTCGATCCCAGGACCCCAGGATCACGCCCTAAGCCAAAGGCAGACGCTCAACCACTGAGCCACCCAAGCGTCCCTATTCCCAAGTATTCTTAGAATGCAGAATTGAGTTGAGTTGGCAATAACATAAGAGCATCTTAGTGATAGACTTTGAATATAGATATTCACTATTTTGGGCAAATGTTAGCTAACAGAGAGCCTGAAAGGGTGAGATCAAGAGTCCCCCTTGGTTACTACTAGTAAACCAGTCTGGGATAACAGTGAGCTGCAAGCAACAGCAAAATCAGTCAAGAATATCTTATCTATTTGAATATTAATTCCTCATTTAACAACAAGCCCAGAGTCAGACAATTCTTTTTTTTTTTTTTAAGATTTTGTTTATTTATTCATGAGAGACACACAGAGAGAGGCAGAGACACAGGCAGAGGGAGAAGCAGGCTCCCTGTGGGAAGCCCATGCAGGGTTCAATCCCAGGACCCCTGGATCATACCCTGAGCAGAAGGGAGACACTCAACCACCGAGCCATGCAGGCCTCCCAAGTCAGGCAGTTCTAATAAAGTTTTAGCAACTCAACATAAAAAAACACAGCTTCTTTTTTGTTTTTCTTCTCTCCTATCCTCTGTGTGTTGGCCATTTGACCCTATGCATGAAATTTCATGATCACAAGATGGCTGCTACAGTACTGGGCATCTGATTTTTTCAAAGGAGGTAGAATGCAGAAGGAACAATCACAAGAGCCTCCAACTAGGATTGACGTGAGGGCTATTAATGTTAGGAGGTCGGTGTTAATCGATGGTGAGATTTGGTAGAGAACGGATATGGGTGCAATCTTTTGTCATGTTAGTAGAATTATGCCTGATGTGAGTGAAATTCCTTGTGTTACTTCAGGGACTCAGAAGTGGAATGGAGATAGGCCCAGCTTTATTGTCAGAGCGATGGTTACTATTAAAGTTTTCTTGCTGTACAGTCTGAGTCTAAAAGCATAAGTCTTCCCCCAGAGCTGGAGAAGGAAGGGGCTCTGTCCCATTGGATCAAGCGATACCCCACAGCTTCTTGAACACTAAGTTGGGATTCTGTTAGCATGAAGAAAAAAGGCTGGTGATGGGGGATGGTTGAGAGGGGCCTTGCCACAGAACTCTCATCAAGGCTGTTTTAATTACAAGGAAAAGAAATTGGACTCAGGTTAATTCAAATTAAGAAGCACAGCTTTATTATAAGGCTGGGATGGGTTGTTAATTTCCTCCAGAGGACAGCCTGGGAACAGAAGTGAGTGGAACAAAGGTATAAGGAACAACAGGAAGAGGGAAGAAGTGTGGCAGAGTGAGAAGCATAGACCCCAGGGAGCAGCATTGCTCAGCTCTACCTGATTTTGTTGCACAGTGGGAGCTTCCGATCTTTAAAATCAGAATCTAGAGTGTTACAGGAAATCTCCCAATTTTAGTATGTTGTAACAAAAACCTTTACATGATGTGTGAGCCCATACAATTGACCTGCTGACCAGGTTTCATTGATGGGCTGCCAGTTTGCACCTCTGAGCGATTAGAAAAATCTCAGAAATAAAGTGCAGCCCGGCTTCACAAATGGAACCAGAACCAGGGAATCACTAGAGCCTGTTCATTATAACTCTATTAGGGATCACGTCATGGCACGCAGTCTGTGTGCATGGAGTATCTACCATGTATCTATCACGCGTGATACTCAATACTGAGGATACAAAAAAGAATTAGATATGGTCCACATCTTCATGCATTCTTGGTGCAGTGGAGGAAACAGGCATAAACAGACCACTGTGATACAATGTGATGTGAGCTCTAATAGACAGATGCAGAGTGTTGTGGGAGGCACATAGAATGCCGATCCTGAAGCCCGAGAACATCCAGAGGCCCCTTCTCATGCTTCAGAGATTCAGTAGGGTTTTTTTTTTGTGTTTTTTTTTTTAAGATTTATTTATTTATGATAGACAGAGAGAGAGGCAGAGACACAGGAGGAGGGAGAAGCAGGCTCCATGCACCGGGAGCCTGACGCGGGACTCGATCCCAGGACTCCAGGATCACACCCTGGGCCAAAGGCAGGCGCTAAACCGCTGAGCCACCCAGGGATCCCCGAGATTCAGTAGTTTTGATCAGATTTTAGTCATTGATGGTACTTTGCTGTATTCTGATTCTTTGACATTTAAACATACAGACGCGTCACATATAATCATTCATGATTAATCAAGAATACTCGATGATGAACCACTTCAAATCCCCCTACCCTCATGCCAGAGAAAATTTCTAAATTTATCAGTAAGAAACCAATTCCACTCAATACCGTTAAAAAGAATAGGAATAAAAAAAAGAATAGGAATAAATTTAACAAAAGGAGTACAAGACTTTTACAAACTGCAAAACACTGCTTAAAGAAATTGAAGATCTGAATAAATGGAGAAACATCCTATATTCATGGATCACAAGACTTAAAATCAATGTGTCGATCAATAACCCCCAAATTGATCTATAAACTCAACCCAATCCCTATCAAAATCCCTGGTTGGCTTTTTTTTTTTCTTCAAAAACTGGCAAGCTGGTTGTAGAATTTGTAGGAAACTACAAAGGACCCAGAAGAGCAAAAAAAAAAACAAAACAAAACAAAAAAAAACCACTTAAAAGAGAACAAACATGGAAAACTCACATTTCCTAACTGTAAAACTTTTTACAAAGTTTCAGTAATCAAGACAGTGTAGCACGAGTATACGAGTATATGGATAGACCTATAGATCAATGGAATGGAATTGAAATTCCAAAAATACACCCATATATTTAAGGCTCAACTGACTTTTGACAGAAGTGCTGAGACAATTCAACAAGGAAATACAATACTCTCTAAACTCATCAAGCTGCCAGTAAGTCATTGAAAAATATGGTTACAGATCATCTTCAGGGAAGGAGGAAGCAAGAAGGTTAGGCGAAGGGAAAGTGAAGAAATTAAGCATTGCCTAATTTCTCCAGTGCCATGTGGGTTGCAGGATTTTCCCCATGCCCCCTCTACCCACTCAGCAGGTCACTGACACTGTTGGAAATTCTGGATGTGGAATGGGTATCATGGTGTTAGTTCAGTGCCTTACCTCTTCTGCCTCGCCACACTCCAGCTCTGCATGTGACTTCCTGCAACAAAATCTACTACAGCCTTCCCTCAAGTACACTCTGTGGCATCAGTGCTCAGGGCAAAAAGGTTTCCAAACCAAATAAGTTTAGGATTGGATGAAAGAACATCAGATAGATGTCTTTGCTGCAGGACTTTTCAGAACATTTATTTTTTTTAAAGATTTTATTTTTTTTTTTAATTTCTTTATTCATGATGAGAGAGGGGCAGAGGGAGAAGCAGGCTCCATGCAGGGAGCCTGATGTGGGACTTGATCCCAGGACTCCAGGAACATGCCCCTGGGCCGAAGGCAAGTGCTAAACTGCTGAGCCACCCGGGAATCACCTTTTCAGAACCTTTAATATATTAGTGTAATTTGTCCTCAAGTTACCTAACCTCAGTTATCCCCAATTTTCTCCTTGCTCCTTTGATTTTCTGAGCTTTCCTTTCTGAGGACTTAGAATATAACAGCCTACATCTGTTCTTCATACAGTCAGGCCCAGAGTGGGTGGAGAGACCCCAGTGATCAAAGTGAGCCCCAGGTAGGGCCAGACTCGCCTCTGGGAATGGATCTTGTCATTTCCCTCTCATCTTGTGCTTCTTGCAGAAAGGAGCCAGGGCCGATGTGAAGGGTAAGTGATAGCTTAGAGGGTATATTGATTGCTTGGCTGGGGGAATGGGGAGTTCTTGGGGAGGTGGTGTTTTCAGAGGTGGGGCGGCGGCATCCTGAGCAACTTCCTTTCTTCTAGGACTTTCCCAAATAGCTTGGCTGCCTCCATAGCACAGCCCCAGTGGATGGTGAGCCCGTAGCCTCCATGGCCATAGTTGTGGATGACCTGGGAGAGGCAAGAGAGAAGGTAGCACGTGTGCCCTGGAAGACTCAGGAGCTTCCTGAAGAGTTCTGGGCAAAGCCAGCGGGCACCAGAGGCCCTCTCCGTTCCCTGGCACGATGGTGGCATCCCAGCAACACCAGTAAGGTGATCTTTTGGGGAGCTGAAGGTCGACATCCCAGACTCTCTTTTGCTTAGGAGATGGACCTGGTTTATGCACTCAGCACAGGAAAAGTAGAATATTTAGAACTTGAGGTCAGGGATCCCCCTCCTCAGTCAAATTATCTGAAGTTCCTTAAATCACCTTTCTTATTCCCATCCCGCTCCAGAACACCAAACCTCTTGTGGTAGACTCTTCTACCCACCTCGGGAGGAAAGAAAAGCCAGGAAACTGTATTGGGTGGACCCTGGTTAGCAGGCTAATTTGACCCAGGGACAGAGGCAAGATCCCCGGGGTCTTTTTTAAAGCCAAAGCCATCAGCAGGGAGTTTGACTCCATGTGTGACTCTTTCCTCTGTATGTGTGTTCAGGTACCTGCGAGCACACACACACACACCCCATATACACATATACACACAAAGCTGTTACACACACACACAGACACACACACACACACACACACCTCCTATATGCCCTCCTTCATAAGGGAAGAAGGATGACCGATATAAGGAGGATTGCTTTTCCTTGGGGAACTCCAGCTACCACCTAGTTAGATCAGGTCCTTCAGCCAGGACAGCTTCCAGCTTCTCTATTGAGTTCCCACCCCATAAGAGGGAGCATGAAAGAGCGACCCCAGAGATGCGATGGAGCAGCCACAAAATGGACATCTGCAAAATGGATTTGGAGTCAAATTCAACTCACCAGTTGTCTGATTTAGGCAAATGCTTTCACATCTTAGACCCCCAGTATCCATCTGAAGCATGGGGGAAACAGTCCCTATCCCAAAGAGCTGGAGGGGAGATCCAGTAAGGTCGTTCGTGTCATGGACACAAGTAAGTACCCATTTTCCTTCTGCTCAACCACAGGTTTTGACAGACTGAGGTGCACTGCCCTCTACGTAACCTTGAGCAGGTCCTGTACCATCACTGAGCCTCAGTTTCTCTACAGAGGGGGGGATGTTAGCCAGTGTTGTCCTGGCCTGCCAGTAGGCTGTGTGAAGCCAATGTCAGGTAAGACTGGAAATGCCAGAGCCTCTTAGAGGTACGGGAAGCCCTGCTTTCCTCGCCAAGAGAGCATACCTCTGTATTTGAAGATCCAAAGCGAAGCCGTTCCCTTTCTAGCCGAATCTGGGGGCGAACTGGCCGGAGACCAGTAAACTCAGCAACAATTTTTGCATCCTGGAAAAAAAGTGTTACTAGTGCATCTCTGGGGGCCCCTGGGTGGCTCAGTTGTTAAGTGTCTGCCTTCAGCTCAGGTCATGATCCCAGGGTCCTAGGATTAAGCCCCATGTCATTGGTCTCCCTTCTCAGCAGGGAGCTGGTTTCTCCCTTTCCCTCTGCCTGCTGTTCCTCCAGCTTGTTCTCTCTCTCTCTCTCTCTCTCTCTCTCTCTCTCTCTCTCAAATAAGTAAAATATTAAAAAATAATAATAATTCATCTCTGGATTTTTTTTTGCCGCTCCTATTTTTAGGTTATAGAGTTAGCTTTGGAGTCTCAATTTCACCACCCACCACCACCATCACTTTCATTAACCCCCTCTACCATCACACCTTCATCAGCTGCCAACATCATTATTGTCACTACCACCACATCACTACCAGTTCTATCGATGACCCGGTCTCCATCAACCACGACCAGCCACCACCATGATGTCAACAGTCCTCGCCTCCTCACCATCATTATTATCCTCATCCTGAGCATATTCATCATCATCAACACCACCACTACTTCTACCCTACCCTCATTAATATCATGACTGTCATCGTCACCAACAGGCAAATGAAAAAACTGATATTTCAAAACAAACAAAAACGCACTGAGATTCCTACAACAAATGTATCTGCTCTTTTTGAAGACAGACTAAGGTGTTTTTAGGGCTGTCACCGCAAAAGACAGCAACTCTTAGCCATGGACAGATAGGTATCACTGGCTTGCAGCAGAACCTCCCTATGCATTATCAAATTCTGGTGTATTCCACAGTCCCTTGCTGGAATAAATTTGCCCAATTATCCCAGTGGTAGCATCTTCCCATCCTCAAGGGGCCTCATGATCAAGCTGCCAAGACCCTGGTCTAGGGTACTGATACCCCTCCCACCTTACCTTCAGTGTGGGCTCCAGGCTACAGCAGCTTTCCCAGATGGTGTTGTGGTCCTGGATGTTGTTTACCTCACTCCAGTTCCCCAGCTGGAAGATGCCTCCCAGAGTCACTGTCTGGATCCTAGGTAAAAGTAAGGAGTGTCAATGATGAAGGGAAACAAAAAGCCTTTGAGATGAATGGGGGGTGGGGCCATCGCCATGCTCACCCTTACAACCATCTCTACCTAAATCCCCATGACCACCCAGATTGTCATCCCTGCTAACACCACCATCAACGCCACTGCAATTGCCACTGTCATCACCACCCCCCACCATCTCTACCATCACCATTAATGTCACTGCCAACATTGTCATCTCTTCTAATGCACAGCACGGTGACTGTAGTTAGCAGTATTATATTACATACTTGAAAATTGCTAAGGGAGTGAATCTTAAATGTTCTCACTACACACAGAGAAATTGTAATTATGTGACATGGTGGATGAGTTAACTAGCCTTTTTGTGGTAATCATATTGCAATATATACATATATCAAATTGTCAGGTACATTATAAATGTGCACCATTTGTCAATTATATCTTAATGAAACTGGAAAAATATCTCCATCAACAACATCATCTTCACAACTGCCTTTTTTGCTACCATGAATATGTCATCACCATCAACTCCATTCATCATTTTCACTACCAGAATTCTTGTTACCATTGATATTGTCATCTCTGCCACACCACTAACATCACCATGAAGATAGCACAGCCCCACCTAACATTAATGTTGCAATCAACATGGATTAACGTTGCCTTTGAGACTGTCATCCCCACTATACTATTAACATCATCATTCATAGCGTCATCTCCATCAGCACCAGATGCTGCCTCTACTCCCAATCACTGCCATCATCATCAACACCACACCATCTCCATTAATGTTAACATTCTACCCTCCTTGGCCCAATCACCACCCCTGTGAACTTCCTCACCAATTACAGTAATATCTCCACTACCACCACTCCACTCTCAGTGACATTGTCATCCTATCAACACAATCACCATCTTCACTAACATCATCACCTCTCTCGTTAATATCATCATCACCATCAACCAAATCCCTATTCTCACCACAATCCTGTTATTTCTGTTCACACCTTCCAGTGTCACTGCCCTCACACCCACTACCTTTGTCTTTAGGATCACCACAACTATCCTCCAAAAGCTTGTTCAAGATGGAGCCCAATTAATGCTGCGTCCTGACTTTCCAGGGATTTAATAGCTCAACCCTACTACTTAGAAAACACTAGAAGAAAAAACCTGCAGGGACTAAGCAAAGGGGCTGGGGTGGCCAGCATAGAGAGGGCATGAAGGTGCTCCTTCTTCTGCTCTAAGATGTCAGATTCTTACCCTGGGATGATGTATGGGGTCTGGTAGATGCCTTTCGCTAGGTCATGGGTGATAATGAAGTGCTTCATCCAAGGGGCATCCACCTGTTGATTGAGGGCAGACAAGTCTCTTCAGGAGCGTTGGATCACTAGGCTTCCCTGCCTTGCTCCCCTCTCTACCCAGATGTTCTGACAAGTGTGGCAAAGACAGCTCCTAAGCCCTCCTCTGACTCCTCTGCTCCAAGTCTGCACTGACTGCTTGCTCTTGCAGGAAGAGTCAACCCCCGCTCCCTGAAATATCACACATTCTCACCTACATGACCACAGAAAAGCTCAGCACACACGTATAAAGACACATACGCATCAGCCCACATCAGGAACACACTGACACTCACATAGGCCCAAGTACGCACACATGTCTACAAATGGACATCCTTCACACAGGCACACGTACACAGTGAGAGGCAGTGTGGGATGATGTTTACAAGACACAGCCTCTTAAATCAGGTTGCCTGGGTTTTTTTTTTTTTTGAAGATTTTTTATTTATTTATTCATGATAGACAGAGAGAGAGAGAGAGGCAGAGACACAGGCAGAGGGGAGAAGCAGGCTCCATGCAGGGAGCCCAATGTGGGCCTCGATCCCGGGACTCCAGGATCACGTCCTGGACTGAAGGCAGGTGCTAAACCACTGAGCCACCCAGGGATCCTGGGTTCTAACCCCAATTCCACAACTCACCACCATGTGAACTTGTGCATATCACCTAAATTCCTCTGTGCCTCGGTTTCCCCATTAGTAAAATAGCAATGGCAATATGATAGACCCTCTCAAAGGGTTCTGGTAAGGATGAAATTAATAACACAATAAAATGCTCAGGCCTGTACATGGCACTAAATAAATACTCCACAAATTTTTGCTCTTTTTATTATAATGCAGGGATATACAACCCCTACATATGTACAAACATATATATGCATGCTTTGCTATATTAAGAAAAAATCCCAAAAGAGAATGTTTGGAGGGGTCGTGTTGATCCTTCTTGTTTCTTTAACATGTCAGTTGCCTGAAATCTGCGAGCTCTTCTAACAGATGTCCCCAGTGCATCCTCTATCTTCAGAGAGGAAATAAGGAGGCAGCTACAATCTCTCTATTAAGAAAAAAGCAAGAGGGATACCTGGGGGGCTCAGCGGTTAAGTGTCTGCCTTTGGCTCAGGGCACGATCCCAGATTCTGGGATCCAGTCCCACATCAGGCTCCCTGCAAGCCTATGTCTCTGCCTCTCTCTTTGCCTATGTCTTTGCCTCTCTCTCTCTCTCTCTCTCTCTCTCTCTCTCTCTCATGAATAAATAAATCTTTAAAAGAAGAAAAGCAGGAGGTTCCATCCTTCGCCTTCACACTCACCTTAATGATCTGTCCCCGACCTGGCTTCAGCAAGGGATCTGGTTGCAATGCCCCAGCCCACACCCCGGTGCAGTTGATAATCACGTCGGCACCTCCTCTTGCCATCTGGCAGCAATGAACAGAGCAGGTGGCATGGGAGGAGGTAAGGGCCTTGGTATCCTCCACCCGCTCCTCCCCTCTGCCCTCCACCTTGCAGCTCTCTGCTCCCTGTGGAACAGCAGGGAGGAGCCTCAATGAGGACTCCAAATTTCCACAGAACTGACTCCAAATTTCTGCTCTGCCATTTACCTGCTACATGACCTCAGAAATGTTCCATCACCTCCTCAAGGCTCAGCCGCTTTCACTATAAAGTAGGGCTGGTAATATCTATTCTTGGGCTGTGTGAAGATCCAATGTGACCCTGGATAGGAGAGTGCTCAGGAAGGAGTACTGTGGAAGGGGAGAAACTTCTTGGGACCTCCCAGAAGAAGTCAGATGCAGAGATAGTTCTCTTCCTCCTTCTGACTCCTTACTTCATTCTCTTGCCTTTTGCTCTGCCAAGGCATTTTCAGAAGGCATGTTGGAACCCCTGGCTCTGTGCATGTATGGGATACTTGACGGCTCAACAGTATAGTATGATGGGCACCTAAACCCTCAGTCCAGCACCAGGGACTCCCCTCACAGGTCAGTCATGGGGCACACACATTGCAAGGCATTGTTATCATTCCAGAGCCAGTGTTTGCTACATTGAAGTGTGAGCTCCTTGGGACTAAGGTTATGTCTGAGTAAACCGTACATCCCAAGTGCCCATTAGGGCTCAACTCAGAGCAGATACTCAGTATATAATGCCAGTAGCTGCATTTACCAAGTATCTTCACATGCCAAGCACAATTCTAGGTGCTAGGATTGAGTGAGGTCATACAGCAAAGTTCATGGTACTTAGCCAGTGCCTGGTGATGATAGCTGCTAACTGTCATTGTTACTGATGATGGCATTACTCTGGAGCTGAGTCAGCTGAGAGCCTTGACTTTGCAGAAACATTAACCCTGATTTAGATAGGAGGCAACCAAGTGTCTCAAGAGTGAAGTGCAGCTGATACTGGTAAGAGGCAGCCAACTCTCTGGCCCTAAGATTCAGAGGGTCAGAAGTAGATTAGCCCCTAATGTCCACCATCATCCTGCTATCCCTTTGTTCTAGCCACCAACATCAAGACAGAATGCTTGAGTCCCTCTGGGATTGAAGAAAGGCCTGGAGACTGGGACAGGCCTCATGGGGACCCTGGGAGCTGACAAGGGGCCCCCAACCCAGCAAAAGGAACCAAAGGCCTCTCCTCCTCACCCTTCTCCCACATCCAGCCGCTTCCAGCCCTGCAACTCACCTCCTCGAAAGACTCCACCTTCTGCCGGAAGAATTTCACTCCCCTCTCAGTTAACCTAGGGTGATCAAACACATCAAAAAGCCCAGTATTCAGTTCTTTGTCCCATCTCTCCAAGAAAATGGCGTGAGATATGTTCCCCAAAGAACCTTCTGTGGATGTTAGTCCCACAGGATGCTCCTTGAGAAAATGGCTGTGTAGTCAGATCAGATCAGTTCTTAAGTACCTTGATGGACTAGTGGTCCATGAAATCTCCCATGGGAAACCTGAGATGGCCCAAGCCCCTTGTCAGCCAGATGGAGATGAGAGAAGGGCCTTGGTGAAGGTCATACAGTGAGTTAATGATGGGACTGGGACTCAGACCTAGGCTTCTTAGTTCAAAAGTTTTCCTACCACATTGCTTTGTACCATCAAAGGGAATGAGTTGCAAGGTGGAGGAGGGCAGAGTTGGACCAATGTTAAATGCCCCTTTGTCAGAAGCAAGGTACAAGGAGGAAGGTGGGCTGAGGACATCTCTCAACATGTCTCAGAATAAAAATATCTGTTTTATTAGAGATGTAGTAGAAACATCAAACATCTTTTTTTACAGAAAAGTAAACCCTATGAAAAGTGAAACTCAGGACTATTTTATATACATAGCTTCCAAAAGATAGAAGTGGGGGTTTTCTGCCTAGGAAGAGGCTAGACAGGAGTCATAAGTATCTTAAGGTTAGGAGAAATAACTATAGTGCAATGATTTCCAAACCTGGCTGATAATTAAAATCACTCAGGAAACTTCTTAAAACACAAATTTCTAAGCCCCACTCCAGAGGATCTGATTCAGTAGATATAAAGTGGAGTCCTAAAATCTGTATTTCTAAAAAGCTCCTCAGGTCATTTGATAAAAGCTATGATCCATTCTAGATTTTTTTTAAATCTTAATAAAATAGTAAAATATAGGAAATACATGGAATCTTCTTATATATGAATATAAATATAAATATGCCTCTCAATTTGCTAATTTAGAACACTACAAGATTCCTATTTTTTTAAAAGATTTTATTTATTTATTTTAGATAAAAAGAATGAGAAAGAAAGCATGAGTGGGGGTGGGCAGTGCAGAGGGGCAGAGGGAGAGGGAGAAGCAGACTCCCTACTGAGCAGGGAGCCCAACATGGGGCTCAATCCCAGGACCCTGGAATCATAACCTGAGCTGAAGGCAGATGCTTAACTCACTGAACCACCCAGGCACACTTACAAGATTCCTATTAACCTCAGCAAAGGGGATCCCTGGGTGACGCAGTGGTTTGGCGCCTGCCTTCTCAGCAAAGGGGATCCCTGGGTGGCGCAGCGGTTTGGCCCCTGCCTTTGGCCCAGGGCACAATCCTGGAGACCTGGGATTGAATCCCACGGGCTCCTGGAGCATGGAGCCTGCTTTTCCCTCTGCCTGTGTCTCTGCCTCTCTCTCTCTCTCTCTCTCTCTCTCTGTGTGTGTGTGTGACTATCATAAATAAATAAAAATTTAAAAAAATATTTAAACTTAAAAAAAAAACTCAGCAAAAAGACATTCCCTGTATTAGTTAACATTGTTCTAGAAGTACTGGCCACAGCAGTTAAACAAGAAGAAAAAATGAAGTATACAGAAAAAAGGCAACTTGTATTTTAGAGATGATGTAAATACATGTGGCAAACTTAAAAGAATTAATTTAAAACTATTACACAAACATTATAGATTTTGGTGAATTCAATAATCAATATCACATGTAAAGAGCTGCCCAGGTGGTTCTGATGCCCAATCAGGTATGGGAAGCTGGGTTTCAGTGCACAGAAGTGGTTAGAACTGAGGATAACTCCCACCAAGCCTAAGAGTTTTCTTTAACATTTTGGGTTGGTCAATACAAAAACAAATCTCATGAACAACTGATAATGGTCCCTGAGAGGTGCTTTCCTAAAACTAAAGTTGAAGTTCTCACCTTTTAGTCAGCCACTCGAGATACCTCCTCCCCTCCACAACCAGGCTTGTGTTGAACCAGCCATAGCTAAAGTTGCAACAGGCAAGAGTGAGAATAAAGAATCAGAATCAGAGCTCTATTCAAAGGCTTTCAAATGGAGGTGGGAGCAGTCTCATTTTGGAGGACCCCCAAGGGTAGAACCAGGACCACTGAGTGAAGTGGGCTGAGTCAAGTAGGGATTGGTTTTCAGTGCAGAAAAATTTTTTCTATCAGAAAATCCATCCCTGACATTGGGGTGCACACGTGGAGATTGGACGTGCATTCTTAGAGAGGATTCAGGCACAGGGTGGGGTGAAGGGAGGACCAAAGAGACATCAGGCTGCAAGGAAAAGAATAGATGTGTTTGGAGTCACACAGATTGGGTTGAAATCCCATTTTGGGGGGATCCCTGGATGGCTCAGTGGTTTAGTGCCTGCCATCAGCACAGGGCATGGTCCTGGAATCCCGGGATTGAGTTCCATATCGGGCTCTCTGCATGGAGCCTGCTTCTCTCTCTGCCTGTGTCTCTCCCTCTCTCTGTGTGTCTCTCACAAATAAATTAATAAAATCTTAAAAAAAAAAAAGAAATCCCATTTTGGTCCCTTGGCTATGTGACCTTCAGAAGTAACTTAGCCTCTCTAAAGCTCAGTCTCCTCATCTACAAAAGATGGTAGTGACATGGAGTTCCTGGGCTTCAGATCTGTGTCTCTGTATCCCCCACCACCCTAGCCCAGGGACGCATTGGGTGGGTGACTTCTCCAAGGGAGATGGACAGAGTAGCAGAAGTCTAAGGGACCAGTGGCTCTTGGCCTGGGATAGGACAGGAAACTTGGGACCTCTATTTTCTGCTGCCCTCTGGACAGATCTGTCTGAATGGTGAGACCTCAGCCCCTTTGTCCATCACAATAACCTCACCTGTAATTGGGGAACATGTCCAGCTCTCTACGGGTCAGCCTCCGAAATCCCAGAACTGTGTCCTTCCAGGAAGGATCCTGCCAAGGAGGAAGAGGAGGCACAGGGATGGGTGAAAGTCAATAAAATGTTGTACAGTGTGTACTGCATGTAAGGCTCCATTTCAAGTATCTTACTTATACCACTCCATTTACTACCCCCAACCATCTATTGAGATACATATTATTCTTAGCTCCATTTTCACAGATGGGCCCCTTGAGGTTTAAAGAGGTTAAGTAACTAGTCTAAAGTCACACAGCTAATAAACAATGAAGCCGAGATTTGAACCAACACAGTTTGGCTTCAAAGTCCATAGTCTTAACTGTGATGCTATATGAAGGAAGGGTGAGAATGAGGCTGAGGATGAGTGATAGGGTAGGAGTCAGAAATAGGAGAGAAACTGGTGACAGTGAGGATTACCAAGGGGTGAGAGTGGGAGGCAGCAGAGCTTAGGGTCAGAAAACCTGGTAGAGGTTTGGGCCTCCCCACAGACCACGTTGAATTCTCCAAGACTCCCATTTTCTGGTCTGTATAATGGAGTTAATACTCATTCTTGGTCCCATGAAAGAGAACAGACAGTATGGGCAATGCCCGTAGCCCAGTGCTAAACATCGAATAACCCTGAAAGAGTTGGCCTGGGATTCTGGACACTCAGACCCCTCTCTCCAAGCAACCTAAGAACATCCCCCAAGGCTGTGCCCTTCTTCGCACATTGGGCACCATGGGGTCACAGACAGCCTGGGTTCAAATCTCAGTTCCACCATTTAGAGATTTGTAACTTGAGCAAGTTACACCATTTCTCTGAGCCTCTATTTCTTCATCTATAAAAAGAGGCACTTACTTGTTGGTTGTTATAAGAATTAAACAAGTCACTAGCTGACAAAGTAGTTGGGACAGGGCCTGGTATATAGTAAGCACTTTAGAAGTTCGTGCCATGGTGAATATTTTAGTATATCTTGATGAAAATCCCTGGCACCTCCAGAAACACAGGAAACCTTGTAGCTTCAGCATGAAATCCACTACAGGATGTGTCTGGGTTTGACTCAACCAAAGCTAGTTCCCCTGGTTCATCAGAAAGCTCTTTGGGAAAAAAAAGAAAGAAAGAAAGAAAGAAAGAAAGAAAGAAAGAAAGAAAGAAAGAAAGAAAGAAAGAAAGAAAGAAGGCAAGCTCTTTGGTCTCCACCAATTTAATGACAAAATTGGAAACCAAAATAATTTTAAAGCAAAAATAAAACTTAAAGTAAACTTGATTTGAATGCAAATAGCTATCATCTACCAGGCTCAAAGTACTCCCAGACTCAGACTCCCAGCCCTGGTCTGTGATCAAGGTTCTGCCCGAGGGTCTGACTCCTCACTCACCGGAATAGTTTCATGCGAGAGGTTGTAGCCTGAGATTAGGGCCAGGCCCATGCTCGCAGCGTTGGGAGAATGGATGTGGCTCAGAAGATAGTCGAAGGTCTGCTGGTTCCAATGCCTGGAAGGATCCCGCAGAGTCTCGGTCACCTAATACCTTGAGCTGGACAAGAAAACTCTGAGGATTGGCTTGCATGGGGTTGTGACCAGGCAGATGGGGATATGTCAAAATCCAGAAATCCACCACTTTCCCTTCTGCAGCATCCCAAATGCCTGTGGGCCTTCCCTATCCCATGATTTTCTAGAATTTCCCCATTAATAGAAAAAGAGAAGAGGGGAAACAAGGGATGGTCCATTGCAACCATTTGGAGCCCACCTGGGGCTCAAGATTGTGTAGCTGTGAGTTTAAATGAAAGCTCTGGCCCACTTTGAGAGCTGCAAGCCCCACACTTGAGGCTTACTCAAATACCCCCCGTATAAATGCCAACAGTAGACCTTGATTTGCTGCTCCCAAACACTTTCCTCCTCTTCTTCCTGGCACAGAACCTGGTTACATCTCCTAGACTCCCAAGCAGCCAGGTGTGGCCATGTGACTGCCTTCTGCCCAATGGACCCTAAGACTGCACACATGGTCCTCATGCTGTACTCCTTCCAAAAGCACAGAAGAGTGACATCAGAAGGCACAGTGACACGGGCACAGTGGCCGTGTCAGAAGCCACAGAGGAGGACAGCAGAGGCATGAGATGCAAGGAGCCCGGGCCCCTGAATTGCCATCCACTGATCAGGAACACTAGTTTTAGAGTTTACGGGAGAATGTAACTTCTGTTTGAGTCCTTACACAGTTGGGGATTCTTTTGCTGAAGCAGCTGGCAGTTTGTGGTTTCTAAACAGACAAAATAACTTTTGCAACTTCTTTGCTAAACCTGATCATCCATCCACCCACTTACAAGTATTCTTGATCTGGAGGTTCCTCAAAAAGTTAAAAACATAATTAACCTGTGATCTAGAGAGAAAGCACACTACTGGTTATTTACCCAAAGAATACAAAAACACCAATTCAAACAGATACGTGCATCCCGATGTTTATAGCTGCATGATTTACAATAGCCAAGATACGGAGGCAGTCCAAGTGTCCATCAATTGATGAATGGATAAAGATGCGGTTTTCCATATATACAATGGAATATTACTCAGCCATACAAGGGAATGAAATCTTGCCATTTGCAACAACGTGGATGAACTAGAGGGTATCATGCTAAGTGAAATAAGTCAGAAAACGACAAATACCATATGATTTCACTCATATGTGGAAATGAAGAAAGAAAATTGATGAGCAAAGGGGAAAAAAGAGAGAGAGAGAAAAAGAAACTCAAACCAGACTCTTAACTGTAGAGAGCAAGCTGATAGTCACCGGAGAGGATGGGGGTGCAGGTTGGGGGAAATAGGTGATGGCGATGAAGGAGTGCACCTGTTGTGACGAGCACCAGGTGCTGTATGGAAGTGTTCCATCACTATATGGCACACCTGAAACTAATGTAACACTGCTAACCAACTGGAATTAAAATAAAAACACTAAAAAAAAGAAATTGTTACATAAAAATGATGAATCGTCACAATGGGCAAATTCAGGGGAAATAGATTTCTAAACCGTTAAATATACCTGAGAGACTGTTAAAAACGGCAATTGGAATGACTTCAAATGAAGCGAAAGATCTTTTTATGAGTTTATATATGGAAGAAAATTGGTCTTTGGGGACATAATTCCTCCCTACAGTACCCAGCATCAAGGACTTTAGTGCATTTTATCCTTCGTTGTAATTATTGCTGGGATTTGAAGGGCTCTGTTTTCTGTCAGCCACTAGGTAGGGATCAGATGAAAATGACCTTTAAATAAATAAACTAGGGGAAAGAAACCCAAATATTCCTGATCCATCAATGCACAGGGCATCCACAGCCACCCAGTTTAGGGGAGGCATAGAGGGAAGCCTCCATTTGTCTGGCACATAGTAGGGCTTCATATTTATTAGGATTTTCTTCTAAGCCTTGACAAGGGGCTTGCTCTTGGTGATGGGAACCCTGAGAGGGAGCATCCCCTCTTCACTCTCAGAACCTCCGGTTCCTGGGGCCACCGTCTAGGACCCTCACTCACGCCTCCTGTGGGTTGCTGGGGTCCGAGAGGTAGGCTTGACAGAGGCCAGCAGCCACGTCAGTGGTGGTGAGCGGGGTGAAGCGGTCTGCGTAGACCCTCACATCCAGCGATGGCAGGACTGACTGGTAGTGCTCGTGGATGCAGAGGGCGGTGGACAGCCCAATGACGCCCGCTCCGATCACTACCACACGCATCGTGCCAGCCTGCAGGAAGGAAAGGTTGAAGTGTGCCATCACCACCATCACCATTGTCTCCTGAAAGCTTAGAAAGTGCCCGATACCGCCAAGCCTTTCTATCTGGCTAGTCCAGATAACTGATCCTCTTAAGGACCCTCACAAGAGGAAAAATGGACACAGAGGGAGGCAAAGCGACTTGGCCAAGGTCTCACAGCTAGTAAGTGATGCAGCTTTGGTTGGGGAGCTTCCCCCAAATACCCTGCCCCAAGCCAGGAACATAAACAGAGCAGGGCACAGGGCCCAGCCAGCTGCAGCCTGGGAGTCTAGCAGTCAGGACCATGGGCTCTAGCTTCAGATCTCGTGCCTCAACTCTGCCACCTACTGGCCACTGACCTTGGGCAAGATGCTGGTAAATGGGGAAAAATAACTCCTACCTTGGAGAACAGATGGGAGGTTTAGCAAGATGGCCAGTGCACAAACCTCAACATAAGGTCAAGTGCAAAAGACGTCATTTGCTGACACTTACGGAGCACTACCACGTGCCAACCCCAGTGCTAAGTCCTTCTAAGTCACCCCACGTTCTTAGGAGGCCAGGGCTGGTGTCGTTGGTCCCATTGTACAGATGAGGAGACAGAGGCTCAGAGAAGTGAAGTAAGTTACCTGAGGTCCTACAGTCACTTAAGTGGTGCTGCTGGGATTTACTTTTAATTCAAGTAAACTCAACATACACTGACGGCACATCTGCGTGCCAAGCTGGGAGCTAGTGGATGCAATGTCTAAGTTCAGAACTCAGGTTTTCCTGCACAGCCCCCAAGGGTGGGCCTTGGGGGCTGGGCTGGCTGGGTCCTCAGAAGTTTAAAAGCTTTAAGGGACCCCTGGGTGGCTCAGTGGCTGAGCATCTGCCTTTGACTCAGGGCGTGATCCCGGGATCTGGGATGGAGTCCCACATCGTGCTCCCCGCAGGGAGCCTGCTTCTCTGCCTGTGTCTCTCTTCCTCTCTCTGTGTCTCTCATGAATAAGTAAATAAAATCTAAAAAAAAAAAAAAGATATTTAGAAGTTTAAAAGCTTTTAACCTCGAAGCTGCTTGGATCCCTCCTGCCCCCCCACCCCCACAACGCACACAGCAGGGAAATATTCTGTGGGCTCCTGCTGAGGCAGAACAAGGGGACTTTTTGTGCGGAAGGGCCAAATTCAACTTTCCCTCCTCTACACTCACAGCAACTCCTCCCACAGACCAAGCCTCCTGGCAACCCTTGGCCAAACGGCAGGACATTCTCAATAGGGCCTAGTTTTTTAAAAGGGGAAAATGGGTTCAGCCCACAAGAATTGGACTCTGTCGGGATTTCAGCAGCCAAGTTGGAGATAAAGCCACAAAACGGAAAGGAATTGTTGCTCAGGACCATTCTCCTTCCCGCTGTGAGGCTTGGTTGCAGGGGCAGGCCCTCTCAGGGACCCTAGCCTCCTGCCATCCCTTGTCCCCCATACTTCGCCTCAGGAGATTCCACATCCTCATCTGTAAAATAAGAGCAACTCTGACCTCACAGGGGCACCCTGAAAATTAACCCACTAGTTGGGTGGATGTTTCTGGCACAGCACCCAGCACAGAGTAGGCCCAACAATACGTAGTAACCCCTCCTGTCCCCCAGCCCCTTGAAAATAACAATGGAAACCACACGGGGGGAAGGAGAAGAGGAAGCAGGGAGAGTCAGACCTGGCTTCACTTCTCATTCTCTGTGGCCTTGGCCAAGTTACCTCCTCTCTCTGGGCCTTCTGACTCTCTCTCTATAACTCGGGAGAGTGGATCACTTTTGTGCCTCAACAACAAGACAGCAAGAACTGAGGAATTTTCCAAATTCCCGAAATGAATCCAGGAGGTAGCAGGGCATGGGGAAGTGGCAGTACCAGCCCAGGCTGGGGGTCAGACATACCTAGGTTCAGAGTTTAGTTTGGCTCCAGCACACACCAGCTGTGTGACCCTGAGCAAGTCACTTAACCTGATGGAGGGTGGGTGACCAACCTCTTCAGCTTCCCAGGACTGAAGATGTTACCAGGATGCGGACTTTGAGAGGCTAAAACCAGGAGAGTCCTGGGGCAAACATGGGTTAAGTTGGCCATCCTGAAGGAGCCACCATTTCCTCTCTGTGAACTTTTTTTTAAAAATATTTTATTTATTTATTCATGAGAGACACAGAGAGGCAGAGACACAGGCAGAGGGAGAAGCACGCTCCATGCAGGGAGCCCAAAGTGGGACTTGATCCCGGGACTCTAGGATCACACCCGGGGCCAAAGGCAGATGCTCAACCACTGAGCCACCCAGAGATCCCCCTCTCTGTGAACTTTTAAGGGCTAACAAAGCTCCCTGACCTTTGCCTCCTCACCAAAATATCAGCTCCAGGAGGGCAGGGACTCCTTTTTTTTTTTTTTAAGATTTATTTATTTATTTATTTATTTATTTATTTATTTATTTATTTGACAGAGAGGGAGAGAGCACAAGCAGGAGGAGAGGAAGAGGAAGAGGGAGAAACAGACCCCTTGCTGAGCAGGGAGCCCGATACAGGGCTCCATCCCAGGACCCTGGGATCACGACCTGAGCCGAAGGCAGATGCTTAACCAACTGAGTCACCCAGGCACCACTATTTATTTATTTGAGAGAGAGAGAGTGTGTGTGCCCAAGGTGGGGGGAGCAGAGGAAGAGAATCTCAAGCAGACTCCCTGTGGAGCATGGGGCCCAATGCAGGGCTCAATCTTACAATGCATGAGATCATGACCTGGGCCTAAACCAAATGCCAGACACAACCAACTGAGCCACCCAGGGGCTCCAGACATGGACTTTTATCCTGCTCTATCCCCACGGCCTAGAATAGTGCCTTGCTTATAGCAGGGACTCATGAATGAATGAAGTTCTTATGAGGATCAAAAGAGAAAATATTGGTTAAATGCTGAGGAGCTAACCGTCCCAGTTAACAGGTGAGGGAGTCGAGGTTCAGAGAAAGTTAAGTTATCCGAGGTCATGAGAAGGGTTGGAGGAAGCAATGGATGTGAATCCAGCTCTGCCTTTTCCAGGGCCCGAGGTTTTTTTCCATTCGCCTGCCACCTAGAAAACCAGCATAAGATGGAGAAAAAGAGAAGCTGCTTCTATAATAGAGGCTGCGAGGGAGGAGAAGGAGAGTGTGAAAACCCCCTGGAGGCTTCTGGGCAGGAAGAAGGAGGCCTGGACCGAAGCAGAGCTGGCACCCAGCATGTCTACGATAACCAGGCTAGTCAGGTGTGTCAGAGCCTCTGGTTAGGAGCAGGGGCACACGCCCAAAAGAAGAGCAGGAGGGACGCCCAGAACAACATCTGGAATCAAATGGCCGAGATAGAGAGGGGAAAAGTAATAGTGTGGGACTCAGTTTCTCCAGAGTGTAAAATTCTAGATTGCTGGGGAAACTGAGCCCAGCAAAGAGGAGAGACTCAACCACAACAACGCGTCTGCGATGAAAGGGTTTGTGATGTCTTGGGGTGACAAAGTCTCCGTAAAAGGCAAGACTGGTCGAGTCAGGGAAAGACCCGGCAACTCAGAGATCACAACAATAGCACTGCCAGCGTGTGCCAGTCGCTGCGCTAAGAATGTTACATGCTTCATCTGTTTTCATCTTCTGACAGCTCTCTGGGTTATCATTACACCCATTTTACAGATGAAGCAAGTGAGTCTCAGACTCCCAGCTGGCGAGAAGCAGAGCCCAGCTCAACCTGACTTACAGAAGCCCGTGGCCCTAAACAACACCACGCCGGGCTGGCAAATGACACTATTTGGAAAATCTGAGGACTAAGCAGGTGAAAATGAACAGCCAATATTTCAGGGTCCTGTGTTGAAAAAAGGACCCATGAAATGCAACATCTGTACGAATTTTTAGTGTGTGGCTGGTAGGCAAAGAATTAGGAAGGAAAAAGGTGGTTCCTAAACCAATCATCTTAAACTACAGGACTATCTGATACTGATCGTAGCAACTGTGTGGTATTAAAGTACAGTATAGGGATCCCTGGGTGGTGCAGCGGTTTAGCGCCTGCCTTTGGCCCAGGGCACGATCCTGGAGACCCGAGATCGAATCCCACGTCGGGCTCCCGGTGCATGGGGCCTGCTTCTCCCTCTGCCTATGTCTCTGCCTCTCTCTCTCTGTGTGTGACTATCATTTAAAAAAAAATAAAAAAATAGTACAGTATAAACGCATGAGGTTCTTTTGAGAAGCAGGAGCCAGCCCGTAGGATCTCATGACACGGATAACGAACCTGCGGACTTGCATGCACACGGCTCCATTACTAGGTCAGTCATTTTTTTGTGGTTGCTGGATTCCTGGTGGAGGTGCCCTTCTCCTGTGTGTTACGCCGTCACTTCAACGGAGCATGCTTGGAGTGTGCATCCAAGAAGATGCTGAGGTTCTCACACTTATCTGTGTGTGTGTGTGTGTGTGTGTGTGTGTGTGTGTGTGTGATTATAAAGTCTCCAGAAGTGTGGAGCGGGGAGGGAATTTGGGGTATCTGCCCCTCACCACACACACATAGATTCAGTACAGATGTCCTCTTGCTTCATCTCCGCGACCACTACAGGTGGGTCTCCAGGTGTGGGTCTGAGGCTCAGGGCCAGGAGCTCACTCTCCCAGGGTCACGCAGCCAGTATGGGACAGTGCTGGGATCTGGACTCTGTTCTATCTGAGCTTTCTGTACCCCGCTGCAGAGCTATTAGTCAGCAAGCAGTAACTTGGCACCTGCTGCTCTCTGCTTGCTTTTCAGTCGCGTGTTTGCTTGCTCATAACCTCCCTTGTCCCTCAAAATGAATTTGGGGCAGCTTGTGGCTTTGATTACTATTTGTGTGTAGCAAAAAAAAAAAAAATAGGAGACTTGTTTAAAAAAAAATCAACAAATCAGGGGCAAGGTATTGGAACGAACATAATCAGGTTGTGCCATATGGCCACTTCTTCTGCAGTTGATATTTTCACAATTTGCCTTTACAATGGAATAGCTTCTGGGGCACCTGGGGGGCTGTTTGAGCATCTGCCTTTGGCTCAGGGCATGATCCCAGAGTCCTGGGATCAAGTCCCACATAGGGTTCCCCACAAGGAAACTGCTTCTCCCTCTGGCTATGTCTCTACCTCTCTGTGTCTCTCATGAATAAATAAATAACAGGTTTTTAAAAAATTTAAATGAGGGACGCCTGAGTGGCTCAGCGGTTGAGCATCTGCCTTCAGCTCAGGGCATGATCCTGGAGTCCTGGGATCGAGTCCCACTTCGTGCTCCCTGCAAGGAGCCTGCTTCTCCCTCTGCCTGTGTTTCTGCCTCTCTGTGTGTCTCTCATGAATAAATAAAAAAAATATTTAAAAAAATATTTTAAAAAATTTTTAATGGAACAGCTTCTACAAATGTTTGACAACCAGGCTATCAGCTCGCTGCCCCCAAATAATAATCACCATTTACTGAGTACTTGCTATGTGCCCAGTTCTGTGCTAAGCTCTTTCTGTTCATCACCTCTTTTGATTCTCAAAATAACCTAGTAAGAGGTGATTATGATCCCTGTCTCCCAGGGAGGAGAAGGAGGTCTGGAGAGGTGAAGGCACCTGCCTGTGTTCCTGCCTGGCTCCAGGGCTGTCACCTGCTTTAGGCTCTAATGTAGAACCTTCTCCTTAACACTGGGAGGACCTTGAGACCTGGTGCACCGCCACCCCCACTCACCTGGATTGCCAAACTTCTGAAGAGGCAGCTGCTGTGGACGCAGGGTCTTATCTCCTGCAGAGGAGTCTCCTGATTCTGGGGTGTCCGGTCCTCAGCCGTCTGCCCGCCAACCGGGGCTGGAACTCAGGGTCAAAGTCTGGAGTTACGGACAGGGCACAGCAAGGGGCGGGGCTTGGCGCTGAGCGGCTCTCAGGCTGGGAGACCTCCCCTCTCCTCCTTCTGGTCCCTGAAAAGTTGCCTGACTTTTCTGGCTGATCTCAAGCCCCTGTGGACAGCCCTCGGGGGGAGGGAGGGCCGGAGGGCTGATGGGGACAAGGAGGTCTGTCTCCGGGGCCAGCTGGAGACGATCCTCTTTCCTCCCTCTTCCTGCTGCCCACCCCCATGCCCGGCGGAGGGGAGAGTTGTTCCCCTGAGCCACTGTGGGCCTGGCCAGCCGGGCAGCCCTGTGCGGAGGCCAGAGATACAGGACAGGGCCTCTAGCAGCCAGCGGCCAGCCTAATGCCATTCTTGGATGCTGGGTGCATGAGGCCAGGGAGAGACTCAAGGCGACGCCTATTTGGGCCATAAGGATGCGTGGCTCTTTGCTCCCGTATCCCAGAGACACGGGCGGCAGGACTCCAGGTCCCTCCTCTGCCAGGGCTAGACGTGGAGTTGCGATTATTAGAGCCGAAGGATTATCAGGCGCCTCACTGTGTGGATGGGGAGACTGAGGCCCAAAGACAGAGACTAACCAGCCCTGAGTAAGGTATCCCTTGGGTCAGCTTTAAAGAACCAGCCTTGGCGTCCCTATCTTCAGTTCAGCATCGTGGAATAAAAAAGTGAAGATAAATTAAGAAAATGCATACAAAACATTTAGTGCATGGTATTCTTTTAATAATGATTTTTAGGGATGCCTGGGTGGCCTAGTGGTTGAGCGTCTGCCTTTGGCTCAGGTCGTGATCCCGGGGTCCTGGGATAGAGTCCGCATCAGGCTCCCCGCAGGGAGTCTGCTTCTCCTTCTGCCTATGTCCCTGCCTCTCTGTGTCTCTCATGAATAAATAAATAAAATCTTTAAAAAGTAATAATAATTTTTAAAAGGAGTGACCTCCACCTTTTATTCTATGTACTTCCTCTTCATTTGAATTTTTTTAAATTTTAAAATAATAGTCATGTATCCACTTTTATATCACATGACCTTGTGCCTCTGGTTCATTATGGGAATATTTAAAGCTAACAGAAATTCACGTGGCCCCCAGTTCTGTCCCAGCAATGATGTATGTCTTGTAAATTTCAGTGTGCCAGTTTTATTTATTAAGTTTTTACAATTTTTAAAAAAGATTTTATTTATTTACGAGAGACACACAGAGAGAGGCAGAGAGACAGGCAGAGGGAGAAGCAGGCTCCCTCAGGGAACCTGATCTGGGACTCGATCCCAGGACCCCAGGATCACACCCTGAGCCGAAGACAGAGGCTCAACCACTGAGCCACCCAGGCACTCCTATTTATTATTATTTTTTAAAGAGTTTCTTTTTAAGCAATATCTATATCCAACACAGCCTCAAACTCACAACCCTGAGATCAAGAGTCCTGTGCTCCCCTGACTGAGCCTGCCAGGCATCCCACGATGTGCTACTTTTAAATACCTTATCTGGTTTATTTCATTTTAATCTCTCAACAGCCTTATACAGTAGGTGCTATTATGATCATACCTCCTTTCATTTTTTTTTAATTTTAATTTATGATAGTCACACACACACAGAGAGAGAGAGAGAGAGAGGCAGAGACACAGGCAGAGGGAGAAGCAGGCTCCATGCACCGGGAGCCTGATGTGGGATTCGATCCTGGGTCTCCAGGATCGCGCCCTGGGCCAAAGGCAGGCGCCAAACTGCTGCGCCACCCAGGGATCCCTCATACCTCCTTTCAGTTCAAAAACTTGTTCCCCATACCCACTAACACTAAACACACCCTTATCCCCAAACCCAGGAACCCAAATCTCATACACATACCCAATAGAAATAAAAACACACATCAACCAAAAGGTTGTACAAGAACATTCATGGTCCCAAAGCAGAAATGACTCAAGTATCTATCAGCTGGAGAATGAATGGAACCAATGCTGGAGTTTTCAGACAATTCCCACCATGAAATATTATACAGCAATGAAAAAGTCAAATGCTGCCACACACAAGAACTCAGAGGAATCACACAATCTCTATGTTGAGTGGATGAAACCATACAGGAAGAAACCCTTATGGCATGGTTCCATATATATGAAATTCAAGAAAAAGGCAAAACAAACTAATGGTGCTAGAGGATGTGGGAAGATTGATGCCCTCTGGAAGAGGCACTGACAAGGATAAGGCACAAGGATATCTTCTGAGAGGCTTGAAACATACTCCTTAATAGGGCAGTGGTTACAGGAATGTATATATATACGTAAAAATTCATCCAGCTGCACATTTTTTTTCAGCTGCACATTTAAAGTCAAGATGGATGTCTTTGACACAAGTAGAAGGGTGGGGAAGAGAGAGAGAGAAAGAGGGGAGAAGGAAAGATGGAAGGAAGTCCCACAGATTCAGTATAGGGCTCACGTGGTCTTGGTGATCATAAGGCCCTTCAGAAACTAATCTGAATCCCCAAAGTTCACTGATCATAATGATAGAAGTTCCCCAAAAAGCCCCTAGTAGGACTTCTGGAAGCAATTTCTGTGTATTTGGGTAGAGCTGTAGGAGTCAAAGATCCTTCTGTTCTGGTAGCTGGTTGACACCCAGCATGACCCTGTTTTTTTGTTTTGGTTTGGTCTGGATTTTTGTTTGTTTGTTTTATTTTTTTATTTCAAAGATTTTATTTATTTATTCATGAGACACCCAGAGAGAGAGAGAGGCAGAGACACAGGCAGCGGAAGAAGCAGGCTCCCTGCAGGGAGCCGAATGGGGGACTCGATACCAGGACTCCAGGATCGTGCCCTGGGCAGAAGGCAGGTGCCAAACCACTGAGCCACCCAGGCGTCCCAAGGATTTTTTTTTTTTTAAAGGAGGGGCAGATGTTTTTTTTTAAAGGAGGGGCAGATGTTATGATGGGGGTAACTTTGCAATTTAATTTGGACATACCTATTCTTGTTCAGATGTTAAGTTCCTAGAAGAGTGTTGCTGGTTTGCTGCCTCTCTTTTTTGTTTGTTTTAAAGATTTGTATTTATTTATTTGATTTAGACTGAGCAAGGGGGAGAAAGACAGAGAGAGAGCAAGCTCAAGTTGGGGAAGAGGCAGAGGGAGGAGAAGCAAGCTCTCCACTGAGCAGGGAGTCCAACGTGGGGCTCTATCACAGGACCATGACCTGAGCCGAAGGCAGAAACTTCACCAACTGAGCCACCCAGGTGACTCCCCCCCCCCACCTTTTTTCCCCACAGGCAACTGCTAAAATTTTTTATTTAACTTTTGAATTTTTACACTTTTCCTGTTATTCCATGTTAAGCAGCTCTGAAATACTCTTGGTTTGGGTGAAAGAATCATTCCCCGCAGGAGGTGGAATTCTAGGTGGGGCAAGTGAAGTTCCAGAGTAAACAAGTTAATGTATAAAATTACTTTTTATGTAATTTTCCTCATATAAACTTTGCCTCATATAAACTCAAGTTTTATTTTAACTTTTTCAAGTATTAAGGTCATCAGAACCTCTGTAAATACGTACAACACAGGAGGAGTCACAAAGAAATTACTCATCACCTGCAGCCCCCCACCAGGAAATAGGACCTGTTAATGTTGGATGAACACCCCGGTGACAAAAATGTGATCATGCTCTATGTACTATGTCTCCTTATCAGTATTGTAGGTCCTGAATCTCTTTCCATACCGCTGTACAACAGCAGCCATCTCACACAGGGTACTACTGTCTCTGGCTATAATAATCTTTCAAGCCAGTCCCTACTGGGGGGGAAGAGGGGTGTCCATATTCTGTGTGTTGGTTTTTTGTTGTTTTTTTTTTTTTTATGTTACTAAGAAATATCCTGGATGTGTTCCTTGGCAGGCTCGTCTGATTATTTCCTTTGACTCGATTCCCAAAAATGAACTCATTGTGCCAAAGAGTTTGCATGTTTAAAATGTTGATCCATTTCGCCGGACGGCCCTCCAGAAGGGCTTTATCAGTTGACAAATTTAAGGGGTTGCCACTCTGTACTTGCAGCATCCCAAGAATGAAAACCTCCTTCTGTTTTTTGCCCAGCCCCCACCCACCGCTGGCCTCAGCCTGGTTCCGGGTCCCACTGATAACATCGCAAATCTCAGACTGTGATGGGCCCTTCTGGATTTCTTTACAAAATGCCTATGTATGTATGCATGCATGTATGTATGCATTTAGCTCATTTTTCTCTTGAATTGAGCTGGATATTTTTCTTATTGATTTGTAATAATTTATATATATATATATATATACACATATATATTGGTTTTCTCCTGCTGCAAATATTTTCCCCAATTTGTCAGATTTCAAAACTTTTCTGCCATCAAATCTATTCATCTCTTTGTTTCCCTTAATGGTTTCTGCCATTAATGTCATATTTAGAAGCCTTGCCTCCCTGCCCCGCCAGCCCTGCCTGCCCCTTATTATAAATTACTTGCACAGACTTTTTTAAAAAAGATTTTTATTCATTCATTCATGAGAGACACACACAGAGAGGCAGAGGGAGAAGCAGGCTCCATGCAGGGAGCCTGATGTGGGACTCGATCCAAGGACCCCAGGATCATGACCTGAGCCGAAGGCAGACACTCAATCACTGAGCTACTTGCACAGACTTTTAAAGAACTGTTGAGGGTTGTTGGCTTTTTTGTTTTGGGGGGATTTTTTTTTACATTTTGATATTAGATTCATTTGGAATTAATTTTGGAGACTAGAAGCAGGATATGGATCTGGCTCTACTGGCTAGCTGATGGCACCAAACCATTGGTGAAGTGACTTAGATTTTCTCCACTGTTACCTACCTGATTATATCATTCACTAAACTTTCCTGAATGTTTGGGTCTATTCCTGAACTCTCCATTGATCTGGATGTGGCTTTCTAAGCCAGTGCCCGTTTTGTTTCACTTTCTGCAGCTTCATCATATGTTTTAATATCTAATAGAACAGACCCCTCCCTCCTCT